TACTACCTGCAGCCCGCTTATTGACCTAATCGCTGACCATGGAATGTTACAGCTTCTCCCCGCTGGGATACCAACCCTCCAAGCCTCCTGCTCGGGAAACTGGACCCGCCCCGACAACACCTTCGGCACAGAAGGCATCATCGAGGCGGTGGTCTCCTGCTCGACCGACCCCTCTCGTCGAGGCCCCAAGACTGACCACCTGCCCATAATCCTAGAGCTCAACCTTGAAGCCCCACGCGCGGACGCCACGCCACGCCTCAACTGGCGTGAGGTCGACTGGACCAAATTCAAGGAAACACTCACCGCCAATCTTGCTCCCTACCCACCTTCAATCCTCGGATCAGCGGAAGAATTCCAGGTTTCGGCGCGGCGAATCACCCAAGCCATCACGTCAACAATGGAAGTGTGCGTTCCCCGATCCAAACCCTGTCCACACTCGAAGAGATGGTGGACCCGCACCTTATCAGATATGCGCAAACAGGTCGGCAAACTCAGTAGGAAATCGCACCAGCACCGAGGGCTACCACTCCACCCTTGCCACGCCGAATACAAATCCCTCAAGAATCGCTACGCAGAGGAGATCACGCAGACGAAGAAATCACACTGGATTGAGTGGCTCGAGGACTTAGAAGGTAACGACTTATGGACGGCTAATCGTTACATTTCCACAGCTCCGAGCGACGGCGGCAGATCTCGCATCCCGACCCTCATATCCAAGCTCCCAGATGGTTCGTCAACAGAGGCCTCCACCAATGCAACGAAAAGCATAGTCATAGCCAAGGCTTTCTTCCCTCCCCCCCCCTTTAGTAGACTCCGTTCCCGCTGACTACCTTTACCCAGACCCAGTAACCCACCACACCCCAATCACCCCAGACCAGATATCTCGCGCAATATCGAAGCTTAGCGGCTATAAAGCCCCCGGTCCAGACGGCATCAAGAATATAGTTTTCAAGGAATGTGAAGCCATACTGACCCCCCACCTAGTCTATTTATTCAACGCGGTCTTCTCATACCGCACGTACTACGAGCCTTGGAAAAGGTCCACGACGGTCGTATTGAGGAAGCCCGGCAAGCCCTATTACAACGTTGCAAAAGCCTATCGACCGATAGCGCTGCTCAACTCCACATGCAAACTTCTCACTGCCATTATCGCTGACCAACTAACTTTCATCCTAGAGCATCACAACCTCCTACCCAACACTCATTTTGGCGGACGCCCGGGTCGCTCCACGACCGACTCACTCCATCTCCTAGAAGACACAGTAAAGAACGCCTGGCGAGCGCACAAAGTAGCGTCAGTCCTTTTCTTAGACATCGAAGGTGCCTTCCCGAACGCCGTCACCAAGCGGTTGATCCACAACATGCGCTCGCGACGACTCCCACGCGAACTCGTCAACTTCACGGAACGACTACTCACTGGACGACAAACTCAACTCCATTTCGACGGCTTCACCTCAAACTGGATCAACATCGACAATGGGATAGGGCAAGGTGACCCCCTTTCAATGATTCTATATGTTATCTATAGTGCTGACCTAGTGGACATTGCTCGCCCTCGACGAGGGCGTGAGTCCCTTAAAGAACTAACCCTTGCTTTCGTAGACGATACTGCCCTAGTGGCTATCGGCAAGAACTTCGCGGATACCCACAGCACCCTCAAAGACATGTTAGAACGCCCCGGCGGGGGATTTGAATGGTCACGGGACCACAACTCCCGATTCGAGACCAATAAGTTCGCGCTTATCGACTTTTCGATGAATAGGCAACGCGAACGCCCAGAAATGAACATCCAAGGTACCACCATACACCCTTCCTTCACCCATCGCTTCCTAGGCGTCATCATCGATCAGGAACTCCGCTGGAAACAACAAGTTGATCACGCCCTTGCTAAAGGACTCGCCCACGTCATGCAACTGAGACGACTATCTACCACATCGAAAGGCATCCCGCTCCGTCTAATGAGACAACTATACCAGGCTACAGCAGTCCCTAAGATGCTGTACGCCGCCGACCTTTGGTTCGTTCCAGCGTTCCGTGGCGAGTCGGATACGTTGCAACGTGGCTCCTTAGGTGTAGTCAGAAAACTCACTTCTATTCAGCGATTAGCCGCCATCGCCATGACTGGGGCAATGAGGAGCACTGCCTCAGATATCCTCGAAGTACATGCTAACCTCCTCCCTATAGCTCTCCTCCTGCAAAGCGCTTGCCATCGCGCCATCGTGCGACTCGCCGCACATCCGAACACCCATCCCTTATTCGCTCCAGTACGAAAGGCAGCCAGCCGCTATGTATCGTCCCACCGTTCGTCCTTACACCGACTCACCCATTATCTTAGTATCAAACCGGACGAAATTGAAGCCTTGATTCCAGCCCGAAGAGCCCCTACCGCCACATGTCCCTACAAAGTTCATATCGCAGCATCAAGGAAGGAAGCCGCAGACGAACATCATGACCTACCAGACCACATCCAAGTCTACGCAGATGGCTCGGGTCACAACGGAGGTATAGGTGCCGCTGCCATCCTCTTTCGGGCAGGAAGATCACCACGCACGTTACGCTACTACCTGGGACCCAGCGAAGAACATACAGTATATGAGGCCGAAATGGTAGGACTGACCTTAGCGGCCAGACTCATAGCCACAGAACAGCAAATCGAATTCCCATTGTCGATCTCTATAGACAACCAGGCAGCACTAGTATCCGGTGAGCGTTTCCATTCCGGCCCAGGAGCTTATCTATCCCTCAAGTTTCAGAAGTTACTACGCGCGGTACAGAAGACTAACCAGCATTATGACATAATGTTAAGATGGGTTCCAGGCCATGAAGGGGTACATGGCAACGAAGAAGTGGATAAGGCAGCGAAAGTAGCGGCAGAAGGCTCTCACCGTTCAAGTCCCCGTGCGTTGCTCCCCAAATTTCTTCGTAACGGTCCGCTACCGCTAAGCATTGCAGCATTGAAACAAGCCCACCGAACGCAAGTGCAAGCCAGATGGTCGAGGATCTGGCCCACCTCCCCCCGATATCAACGCCTACACGAAATAGACCCCAACGCCCTCAACAGATCCTTTCTCAAGCTCACCGCTCATTACCCCAAACGACTCACCAGCCTCTTAATCAGTCTCCGCACTCATCATATCCCCTTGAACAAACACTTGCATCGACTAACCAAAGCCGACTCCCCTCATTGTCCTCACTGCCCGCAAGCAGAAGAAACCATACACCACTATCTATTTGCATGCCCTCAATATCAAAGAGAACGACACATCCTGTCTTGTGCGCTCGGTCGCAAATCCACTTCACTACCCCACCTCCTAGCAACACCCGAAGCCATACCCCATTTAGTTCGTTTTGTTAATGCTACGCGTCGTCTTAAACCAACCTTAGGTGAAATCTCGTTACCCCCAGCACAAGCAGATTGACAGCCTTGCCCTCGCAGCTTCACCCTCCACGACATCGATACCAACGCCACGCTACCACGATACCATACATCCCCCTAATCACCTCACCACCTAATCACCTAATCGCCCATCTCCTACCCTACCCAAAACTAAAACACTCCCGCTCGCACACACGAGATCGAAGGCTCACAAACCTAAGGATTCAGCCGATAGGCAACTGGAATACTCTCCTTGACACGCTATGTTAAATGCTACCCCCCACATAGCGAAGAAGCGAGCACGCGCTTCCCAAACTTCAAAAACTTATTCCATATTAAAAACCCTACCGCATCCCTTACTCTTTCTCTGTTTGGTCTGCGAAAGCAGCCGAGCACGCGTTATGTTACATTCGTCACACTAAAAAACACAACAGTATATCTTCTAGTCACTACATCTCCGACAAATCGCTCATCTAAAACGGCCGGCGGGAACGGCGGATCGGTGAGGGTACGCCCTACACTGATGCATTTGAGGATCTGGAGATATAGCACGGGGCACGGGGCCCCTCGACTCGACAGTATTGTCCTACATAGAGTAGCACTCTCAATGGACATAAATCAGGATTAAAAAAAAAAAAAAAAAAAAAAAAAAAAAAAAAAAAATAGCACTGAGGTGTCCCTTTTTTTGAACTTCCGACGTTGGTTGTCCGGAGTCGTCCGGTTGAGTGCGCGTAAAAATTTACAAATCAGAATATCAATTATTTAATATTCATTGCCAGTGACACTATCTAGATTGTCGTACCGCAATCGACGATGCTATCACAGACATGAAAGAACGGCCCTTGGATTCGGTGAGGGCAAGTTGGACGGGGGGGAGGTAGCGCCGCTACCTCCGCGGGTGTTCTGCACGTCAGTGAAAGGAGTGTACTTATATTGGAGGTTGGGCTGTCGGATGGGGGACACACTGAGGCTCGTACTATCGATTACCACTCTCACTCACACTTACCTGTCTACTACTGACTCTATTGTACCAGTGGAATCAGGCGTATCAGTTGTTGTTCCAAATCGGAATTCCCTGTTGGACATTGCGCTGCGTTGTGCATGACAGGATTCCTATCATAGATCAAACTAATAGTGACAATGCCTTGTACATAGAAGAAATCGGCACAGTCAGGTTCTTTGAAAACAGGCATTCTTCTAACGACTCGGACTGTCTTCCTCCTCTAGGCAGAATGTCACTAGACTCGCCGCTAATCATCAGGGGCGTACCTAGTCGATGAATGTCCCATTCGGATTAGGCTCATCTGTGGATGGTATCGTTGTGTTGGAGTAATGGTCAGAAGTCACGCTAACGGGGAATCGGGGATGTAGTCGCCAGCGAACGTTCAACCGCGATGCAAAAGTAAGCGATCTTGCCGTTTGGCCTCAGTCTATCAGACTGATAGGGATACAAACATGCGCACGCCTCTCGGAAAACATCAAGAAGCATCATGCTGGTCACTTTCTAAGCGAGAGCGACACCAGCGACCACATACGACGAGAGAACCATTGTTGCGCTAACTCCGATTATTACTTAAAAATCATTCATCAGCAGAGCCCCATCAAATCCTTCTCGCAATCAACCATGCTACAATTCCCCGACCTTCCCATGTTTGACAACATGCAGTTAGTCCTCGGTGCTGCAGCTTCTCTCGGGGTAGTAGGCGCGATCGTTCTGGCTTCCATTCCTAAATCAGAGAGTGGCCTTCCACTCCCACCTTCCCCTCTCACCTGGAGACTTTTGGGACACTTCATACCCCCTCACAACTAAAGTTTCACATCATACTCGTTATCTTTAATGCTAATACCGTGTCCCATCTCTGACAAGCTCATTTATCACGATAGATAAATGGATTGAAGAGTACGGTCCTGTTATTACTATTCGCTCAGGACTTGAGAAAATCGTTATCATCAGTCATCACTAAGCCAGTCATTCCATGCTATCTTGTCATATCCAGGCTCGACGTTCTGTTGCAGGCCGCAGTGGATACTATGAAGAAGCAGGGCGCATCGCTAGTCGATCGTCCTCGCATGGTTGCTGACGGAGAAATGCTTAGTGGCGGCCTGGCAATCGGCTTTACACACGCTGGGGACAAGCTGCGTCGGATGGGTAGGTTCGTAGTAATGACACGGTGCAAATAGCCCCCATCTTACTTTTTCAGAGTACTTCATACGCATCTCCAGCCTAAAGTAGCTGAAGAGTATCAGTCACTGCAGATGTCACATGCGAAGAATGTAGTGCTTGACATTCTTGAAGATCCAGCCAACTTCATGGATCATGCGGCAGTGTAAGCGCGTTCCTACGTTTCGAGATACGATAGTACTTTACTGACGGGTATTTTCAAGTTACGCTGCGACGGTGATTACGAAAGTATAGGAAGAATTCGCCCACGTCTGCAACTGATCCCGAAGTTAAAGAGGTTCGCCAGCGCTTCGAGAAATTGCATATAGTCCTGCGCCCAGGTGCTTACTTGGTGGACTCGATCCGGTGGCTCAAATTCATTCCTTTGTATGGCCAAGATTTAAGAAAGGAGTTTGAGACGAGCAAGAAACTCTACAGCAATCAGCTGAGCCGCGTTCAACAACAAATGGTCTAGTGCATTTCCTTATCAACCTTCCTATGATGTCTAAATCGTTCCACAGCAGAACAATGCAGACCAAGGCCCTTCGTTCACGAAACATATGCTAGAAAATGACCGTGTCCATGGTTTGACAGAGATCGATCTGGCTTTTCTTGCTGGCAGCTTCTTCTCAGCTAGATCTCATTCGGTGAGACGTCTCGTCCTGTTGTTTCCAAAGACATATGGTTGAAGTCAATTGTCGGACTGCTATGGCAATATGCACGGTGTTAATGGCAGCTGTATGTTTTCCAGAAGAGCAAGCTAAAGTCCAGGCCGAGCTTGATGCGGTCATCGGAAGGCATTGAGGTAGCTGGGATTCCTCCTGCAGGTTTAATAATGTCTCAACCAAAGCACCGACCTTGGCTGACGAACAGTCCCTTCCTCGTCTGCGTGCCTTTATCTCTAAGGCGATGAGATGGAGACCGTTTGCTCCTAATGGTGGGTACCTTCACTGTCGATTTTTGCACATGAAGTTTGCAACGTTTACACTGTGGGACTTGGTCACCGGACGACTAAGGAGGTGATCTGGGTAAGTACCCTTCGCTTATTCATGGTACGAGTCCTAACCTGGTATCCACCGGTAGGGAAACTACTGTATACCAGCTGGAACCCACAGTAACCGGCAATCATTAATCATTGGTAAACATTGTACTTGAAGGTACGAAGAATCTAATGGTTGCTGCCTCAGGGCCATCTCTCGTAATCCAGAAATCCTCATGCCTTCAAGCCTGATCGTTGGATTAACGACGAGGGTGGCCGGAGGGATGATCTCAATTTTTTTGCCTACGGCTTTGGTCGGCGGTAAGCCCGATATTTCGGTATTTTTCTTCTTTGACTCGCCGTGTCTTAAGTATGTCCCGGTCAACACGTTGCGAACAAGTTACTCATCCTTCCTCTCACATGATTTCCTGAGCTCATTTCGGTGGATATAGATCGGTGTTTATAACCTCGCTCCTCGTTCTTTGGGCCTTCCACCTCACTCTGGGTCCTACCAAGCCGCTGGATGACACGGGGTACATCAGTGGGTTGCCGCCAAAGTTCAAGCCGTGCAGCATCGACTTTAAGACGAAGATTCCGGAAGGGGGGCTGAATCAAAATACTGGACGAAGGCGTCAAGTTAAGGGGACGAACCTGAATTTCGACCTTGAGCATACTTCTAATCTTTGAGAACAGTATTGAGGATCACAGACCTTTTCACGATCCGGGCCGGCGAGGACAGGTCTGGACACGACAAGTTGACCATGAAACAACTCACGGTGTGCTGGTGACACTGATCGATGATCTCGAGAACCAAAATCTGCCGCAGCTCAAGTTGCAAATTGCTTGATGGTAAATACCCCGGACTCAGATTGGTAAATCCCTACTAGTCATGGACTCGGTTCTATTCATGAGTTAAGCACGTAGCGTCGTTGCATCCATGGCAAGAAGGGAATCAAACTAGCGCTTTCGAGAGTACCTTTCTCATTCGTTGTGATGTAGAGGTCAGTTTAACGTTGAAACCCGAAGGACGCACATAGCGGAAACAGATTCATGTGGGGAAGTTGAATTCAAGTGTTTTTGAATTTGTATTTGAGGCGGGCCGGAATCCTCCGAATAAACTTAATTATAGCACCCCTTCTTCGGCAGCTAAAATGTTAAAACTGCCGATATGTCAAACATTATGAACCCCCTTCCACGGTTGGCACCCCAGAGTCACCCAGATCTGAGATATAATTTTACACCACTGGGACATGGTCAAGCATACACATACCAGCCAACCACTGTTACCCCTCACGCAGCACTGTGTCTTGTTGTGTTGAAATTAGGCTACAGAGGTAGAATCATCAACCATGACTCACGATCGATCACGACTGGAGAGGTGAAGAGCTGGAAGCTCAGGCTCATGAGACGATTTGGTGCACTGGATACTCGTTCGAACTTAGTAGAGAAAATATTTTCTCGTGGGTGGTTTATAATTTCCACTTTCCTTGGTTAACCTCTTTTTTAATTCAAGGGTCAACCTCCATCGCAAGAGCCCTGACTCCACAGCTGACCCGTGAATAACGTCCAGGCTGCAGGTCTACGTAAAAGGTTGTGTCTAATGTCCTTATCAAGGTGGTTCGATGGCCGCGGACATCTTTTTCTGTATTGTCAGGGCTCCCGCCAGACCGCATTTTGTGTTATATTCATTTTAGCTGAGCAAACTTGGTACCAGGTGACAATGCGGCTCACTGCAGGGCCAGGCGCCTTCCGCACCACTCTGTTGCCTTTTCACTGCCTGTACTACAGCCTCCTACTACTACCTCTGGTACCCACACCTCTCGCCCCCTGCCAGAGTATAGGTACCGAGATCAATGTCTGTTTTAGTTATTTTGTTAAATTGTTGAAAGAAGTAGGTTTTAAATTCCTGTTTCACCGGACATGTCATAGCTGATGATGAGCAGGCTTATTAACCAAACGTCGCGATCAACCACCCTCGACGTTTCAAGTAGTGCCGACAGTAAGCTCCATGGCAAATAATGATCACCCCTGTGTGGAAGTACTACTAGGGGTGGAAGCGGGTTAGGCGACCGTGAGACATCCCTACCGGACTCCGTGTGTGGCTGGCTTCAATTCACTCATTTGAATCAACATTAATTCACATATAGGTCTGATCAGTTTTCACTTGAAAGAGCAACTTGAGAGGACTTTAGATGCGAAATGTCGCAATGCAGGGAGACGCGCCAGCGAGGCATAGTAGGGTATGGTCAGTAACTTCTGAATCAGAGAGTCCGGCACAATGATCGAGGAAAGAGTCCCGAGATCATAATGTCTCAACGGCGACTCCCACGTAGTCGACACGTGGGAGCCACAGCTAGCTAGCACACCCAGACGAGGACTCCAAGTGGCATTGAATGTCAGATTCGGACGGTCCTGACCCCAATAGGGCGCTAGAACCTTAAAGTGACGAAGTACCGTGGGGCTACTGCACCCATCCAGGTGCATCCCTTGCTACAGCCATGGTCTAATGGAAGTAAGTATTGGTCTGATCCTAATATAGGGCTAGAGCTCCGAGGTGAATCCTGGTGAATCCCTTCCCTTGCTACAGCCATGGACTTATGGACTTATGAAAGTATCGGGATCACTCATTTGGCCTCGGCTCTTGTCGTCACAAACAAACAGCACCGCCGTGTATTGTTATACAGGTATGAACCGTATGATCCTCATCTGATCAAACACTTACCTACGACGCACATCGTGTCTTCTTCCAGTGTCATGCGAACATCGTATGTACAGCTCAGCAGGCGTGAGCGACGTCCCACGATGTTTTGGTGATGCTTGCATTACTCGACCGTCAAATTTTAAGTATCAACGGATGGCGTATAGACGACGCGATACTGTGAAAAGTGGCCAATGCTTCACCGTTTCTGCTAACCTTCCGCCCCTTCTCTCACACCTGAACGTTCTCACACCTACGGATTGTTCATTCTTTGGTAAGGCTGGCGCGGTTCGCGGAATGTTCCGCCCGTACGGGACACTCTTAAAATGTTTATAGCCTCAACGTCACAGTTTTATGCATTACTAGTAAACTATAATAGACGCAATGTATTACCTTAAAAAGGGTGTATTACAGTTCAAGTGATGCCACTTCGAAAGCCGGCGCGCTCGTGGTACAATTGAAATCTATCAGTTTGTAAACCTTTCTCGTAAGACACGTCCCTATAAGTAACTATCGACACGTTGGCGCAGTCTTACTACAGGAAACACTTGGCAACGTTGCGGTGGGAATGTAACACATAATTGATGCAGCAAATATTTGTGGCTCTGAAATTTACAGCGGACAGCCACGAATGATATGAACATTTCTCTGGTCATGATCTAGTACGGGCACTTATTAGATCTCAAATTTGAGTCAACTGTCTCAGACAATTAATATTCGCACAGGTTACACACACCCCAAGTTAGTTTTTCAAAAAGCTTTCCTCTTAGTGACTTGATATCATACACATGACGCGGCACCTATGGGTGGTTGCTCGGGGCCAATAGTGGTATAAGTCCTGGAATCAATATAAAATAAATAATAATAAAATCAATCACTCATACTATTTGAATGATCGTCAGTACGTATACTGGTACCGCTGGCACTGAAAACCTTAACCGAAGCTAATCATCAACCTCAATGTCTCAATGTCCTCTTGCATTTTATCGGCGGCCAGTTGCAAAATGATCGCTACAGGGACGAGCGAATCATATCAAGCCAGCATGAACCCCAGGTACGTGGTGTCAGATACATCTGTTATGTTTAGGGTAGTTAGTGTGCAGTATTTAACAGGCCATTCATAATTGAATAGTTCCCTCCAATTGATTCAATCTTTTTGCTCGCTCATCGGTCATGTTGCAGCTTCCTGACTTACAAGTGTCTGAAACCACGCAGCCCGCCCTCGCCAGTGCTGCGGCTTGTCTTGCGGTAGTACTCATTGTTCGGACTTACCTTGCTAAATCGGAGAGGAACCTTCCTCTACCACCCTCACCTCCCAATTGGAGACTTCGGGGGCACGAAGTACCTTATCGCAAGCAAGTTTTCACATTCAATATGCTGTATTTTGAATGCTCATTGTGTCCCGTCGCTGATCAGGTCATATCTCACTGTAGAGAAATGGATTGACGAATACGGGCCCTTGGTCACCATTCGTCAGGGATTCGAGAAAATCGTTATTATCGGTCGTCAACAAGTCAGTCCCTCCATGATAAGTTTGTCACATCAAGCTCAACGTTCTGTTGCAGGCCGTGGTAGATATCATGGAGAAGCAGGGCGCAGCGTCAGCTGATCGTCCTCCCATGGTTTCTGCCGGGGAAATGCTTAGCGGTGGACAGTCCATCGCCTTTTCACACGCCGGGGACAGATTGCGTATGATGCGCAGGTTCGTAGTCCGTGATTCTGCTCCAATAAACCCTATCTTACGCTGTGTCGTGACGCAGAGCACTTCATTCACATCTCCAGCCTAGAGCAGCTGAGGCGTATGAGCCCCTGCAGTTTTCGCACGCACAGCAAGCAGTCGTCGACATTCTTCGGGACCCACACAACTTCCAGCAACACGCATTAACGTAAGCACATTATTGGCCCGGGGACATGATAGTACATTATTTACAATGATTTTTATTCAAGATTCACTGCGTCGACGATTATGAAAATTGCATATGGGAAGACCACGCGCACGTTGGCGACTGATCCCGAAGTCAGAGACGTTCGCCAGCGCTTCACGTCATTGAGTGCATCCCTGCGCCCCGGCGCATACCTGGTGGACTCGATCCCGTGGCTCAAATACGTTCCTTTCTATGGCCGAGCATTACGAACCGAGTTTGAGAGGGGCAAAAAACTCTACTTCAGTCAGCTGAACCGCGTGAAAGAGCAATTAGTACGCATTTCACAATTTTCACATCATATCTAAATCCTTCCACAGCAAACGGATGAGGACATCGGCCCTTCGTTCGCCAAATATATGCTAGAAAATGAGAAATCCTATGGCTTTAGCGAGACCGAAATCGCTTTCCTTGCCGGTGGCTTGCTTTTAGCTGGATCCCATTCGGTAAGATGTCTTGTACTGTGATTTCCCATAAAGCCGTTGCTGAAACCCAAGGGTTAGGCTGCTGTGGCAATCTGCACGGTCCTTATGACAGCCGCAATTTTCCCTGAGGAGCAGGCTAGAGTCCATGCCGAGCTTGATGCGGTTATCGGAAGAAACCGAGGTAACCCTTCTCCCATCACAGTATTATTCCTTTAACGACGTCAACAATTAAGTGCCGACTTTCGCTGACGAGAAATCTCTTCCTCGTATGTGTGCCTTCATTGCGGAGTGTTATAGGTGGAGGCCCACTGCCCCCGAAGGTGAGTGTTTTTGTTTCCAGTTGTGTAGCTAAAGTTTATAACTTTCACACTGTAGGAATCGCTCACCGAACAACCAAAGACGTGATTTGGGTAAATAGTCTTTGTTTTGACGTGCAAATGATATTCTAATATCCACCTGCAGGAAAACTATTGCATTCCCGCTGGAACTACTGTGATCGGTAACCATTGGTAAGTCTTATCATTTAAGATTCGAATTGGATCCAACAACTACTACCTCAGGGCCATCTCCCGAGACCCTGACGCCTATCCGGACCCTCACGCTTTCAAGCCTGAGCGCTGGCTTAACGCGGATGGTGAAATGAGGGACGACCTCAAATTCTATGTCTTCGGGTTTGGTCGCCGGTAAGTCCTATCTTTCACGATATGATTTCTTTGACCACCCATGTTTCTAGCGTATGCCCCGGTCAACACCTTGCGCCCAGGTAAAGTTATCTTTTTACGCACCTTTCGTTCCCCACTCATTTCGATTGCTATAGGGCGGTGTTCATTCATTCACTTCTTGCCCTTTGGTCCTTCCAGCTCACTCTGGATGCTTCGAAGCCGCTGAATGACATGGGATACATGAGCGGTGTGGTCCCTGATATCCAGCCATGCACTGTTAGCTTCCAGGCTCGGATTCCAGAACCTGAGCTCAGGCGCTTGATGCAAAATGATGCCTAGGAACTCTAAGATCGAATTGGGAGTCGAATTGTACCACCACCGTTCCGGAATTTTATCTTTCTTCTCCATCACAAGCTATTCTCTTGTGGTCGACTATAGATGTACGCCTATCTATTTATCTTTTCATTATTTGTCTTACTTTTATGGTTTTTCTGTTGGTAAAATTCATCTTTCTATGGTATAAAATTACCGTGTTCGCGCATTCCACTGCGCGTAACGATATATCCTCAGAAATCATGTAGATGCATGTTTGTTAGGTTCTCGTGGAATAAATGATATTCGCATCGATCGCGGTCTGCTGTTGTTCGGCAGCGTGCAGGTTCAACCCTGGATGGTGAGCATAAAACTCGCATGCCACCGTAATTTTAAAGTCTAGGTGTTTTGGCGCGGAATGAGTGATGGGGCGTCGAGTAAACCTTCGTGTGCGTGCCATGAATATTGATAATCCTCATTTGGTTTTATTGCATTGGATTAACAGTCTCAAGCATCCATCGACATGCAGACAGTATGACGCAGTGGATTCCGGAAAATCTCTAAATCCGCTAAAGTACGGGTCATCGTCGTGCCGCCATGCTGTTCGCGAGGTCTGTTAAAAGGTTCCGCCTATATTAAATGCAAACGTCGAACAAATCAGTCGGGGGCGAATCAGGTGTCTAGCGGAAAAAAAATAAGGACGAAAATGAGTGGTGCCACACCCATGCACCCGGGCCAAATGGAAATGTCGGGTGGAGTGAACGCGTGTGAGAGTTGGGCTGCAAGACCTCTGTGAGTGCGTCTGATCGCGGGACCCCTCGCCCAATGGTCTGGAAATAGTAGTTATGCAACTGCTATACTTAAGTGCTAGCGCTGGCAGTGGCTCTATCTAGTGGTCGTGGGCAGGAACTGTGTGATTACTGCCAACGCCTCGGATGACATCTCAGGCCTCCAGCGCACTGGAAAATAAACTGTTGGGTTAGCACAAACACAAGAATAACCTCGCGACTGTGCTCACTGATGGGTATATGGCCTATCGCAGGGAATAACAAATATAATCCAATCGCGGTATGGTTCACATGCAGCTTACACGCTGATGAGCGACACGAGACAGAACTTCATCCGCAACAAAACTGAAGGTATATGTATACAAAAGTGACGGCTGTGATCGATCACTCACAACCAAGGAAACAGGGACGAGGAAGAAGGCTCCATATGCATGGACGCGTGGGTTTAGCGATTGGGGTATCCGGGATGCATTAATGGGGCCCAATCAATCTGTAGCTTGATGGTGCATGATCCGATAGGATTTGATGAGTGTCTATTCCATGCTTGTACTCTTCTTATCACTATGTCTTCTCCGGCTCCCCCAAATACGAGCACAGCCTCCTTCGTGCTGTCGCCGTGGACATAGGACATACTCGGATTCCAAGGGTCCTCAGCGCCAAGCTAATACGTACTGCAGTCGGGCTGCCCAGCCCACACATGTCATAATATGGGGTTTCCGTTGCACACCAGCACATCAAGACCATAGAGAATCGTGATCGCAGCAATCAAAATATGAAAGAAGTTCTTCTTCTGGCGGAGGTGAGGCTGACCTCGCGGTGAGTCTAAGGAGATATGACGGCGAAAAGAGGATGGAGAAAGCTATTTTCGAGTCTCGACTGGAGATATCCTTGCGATAACAAAGGGACCAGTGAATGATTGCCAGGTCCTTCGTTCCGTCGGAGACAATCAGCAATGGGTTTAAGAAACTGGGCCAAGGGATGACCAGGATTGAACAGTACTATGGTCCGACGAGCACGCTCAAACGACGAGTGGGCGATACTAGCTCAACGTGTTCAACCCTCCAGGTGAAGGTTTGATAAGGACCTCGGCGATCGGGTGAAACCGGACGAAAATGAAAACGTGCAAAGTGGCTGTAAGTGGTTTACCGGTCGACTTCTAGTACAGCAACCAAACAGCAACTGTATAAAACTCAAGTACTTAGCGCATCCAAGCTTGTAGCCTCACGCGAGTTCATCTTACACTAAATTACGCTACATTGCTGTCCTCTGAAGCAATTGTTTACACTGAAGATGCCATCGCACAATGCCTCACACAAGCTGTCTTCCTCCCCGCGGAAGAACAAGACACAAAGTAAAAACACGCCTGCTTCCCAATACAAAAGCACAGGCCCCGCCTCCCCCTCCCGCCCACGCAAACTTCCACTAAGCTCACTCCGCCTGCGCCCCATACCTAACTCATACTGGGCCACTCCCCTCCTTCTCGCATGCGAGTACCCATGGTCCCCTTTTGAAACCTCGACCCAAAAACTCGACAAGCTCCTCGCCGCCGGCGTCCGCACCTTTATAGACCTCACTGAGCCTCAGGAACTCACGCCCTACAAGCCCCACCTCCCAAGGCACATCCTTGCCGCCGGCCTGGATGCGACTACCATCTCCTACCACCAGTTCCCCATACCTGATCGTTCGCTGCCTCACAAGCCAACATATTTCATGCGTCTAGTACTAAATGTACTCAGGGAAAATGCAGAGCAAGGGCGTGTGTGTGCTGTGCATTGCCGTGGTGGGATAGGAAGAACCGGCTTAGTTATTGGGTGCTGGCTCGTGGAGGCTGGAATCGCTCGGGACGGCGAAGAAGCGCTGCGGATCATCGAACGGGAATGGCGAACCGTCGAGAAGTGCAAGCGTTTTCCGCACTCGCCAGAGACTGGCCCGCAGTTCGAGTTTGTTAGGAACTTCACGAGTCCAGCGATGGTGCTTGTCTAAGGGACGGTACTAGTGCGCGCTTTTTGCTTGCCTGCTTTGTTTTCGTATGTCTGTTCCCTTTCTACCCGTGACCTTCTCATGGACGCGTTTTCAGCATACCTTTGTATCCAAATGCTCCTCCCACGCCCCTATGGAATCCACCTCGCATCCTTCACGTCCATGCATGTAGCTACTATATCCCTATTCATATTTCCGCTGGACCCTGGCATGGTCACTAGTACTGCTAGTCTCGTACGTACCTGGGCACCCTTCTTCCCTCTTGTGCTGGTCACTTTCCCTCTTGTTATGGTCATGTGCACAATCACAGATAATGAAACGCCATGCCACACTTACATACGTCTTCGAGCTTCACTTTAAGTAGAAGCTTGGTAGCATAGGATGTGCACTGCGATGAATGAATTGCTTTTAAGAGACAAACATGCGCTTACGATGGGCTTATACGAATGAGGAGAACGCTTGAGTGCCAGCGCACCACCTCCAGCTGAGGGTGTGCAGCACTCACGAAACGTGGCATGCACACCAACAGAATGGAACAGAAGAAGCGCTAACTGCGGCTGCAGAAACGGCTAGAAGTCTTTGGGTGCAGAAAAAGATAGTTTGTCGTTTCATTTCACTCACAAACACGATTTTCCTTCGTGGCATACCAAGTTTAGTAGGTGAGAATTGGTGACTCAGAGTGAGAACAGCGTTTATTAACTGTTTAACATCTGACTTCGTTCTCCCACGATCGATTTGGAGAAGGGTTCTTGTCAGGCTCCTTCCCATCGATCGATGTATCGAGAGATAGGTAAAGAAGAGAAGTGGCCTGCGATGTGCGTATACGACTTAACAATGCAAAATTGCATGGTAAGTACGACAAGCGTGACATGCTACTGGGCAGTGGGCACTAGCGGCAGGTACGAAGAATCAGCTGGTTTTATGCATCGCTCATAGAATGGCGCTACGATTACTGGTAAACAGTATCAGCAAACCATCGCAGGCCAGCAGACCAGCAGATATGGGGTTAATGTTTCGATTCCCACTCGCTCTGCTTTACCGGCAATGGGCACAGCGAGCGGAATATGTAAAGAGCCATGAATTACTATATGTAAGTAGTATATCCAACGCATTTCCGAATTTCACTGCTCATCTCATCAGTCATGGTGCATTTACCTGATCAGCACCTTTTTGAAAACACGCAACTTGTGCTTCTTGCGATAGCTTCTCTTGGGGTGGTAGGGGCGTACCTGTTTAAATCACAGAGTGCCCGATCTCTGCCACTTCCACCTTCCCCACCCACATGGAGACTTTGGGGGCACTCCCTACCCGGTCACAAGTAAATTTTCACATTCGACTGGTGGTCTTTTATATCATGCTAATGATATCCATTGATCAGCGCCTATCACACTATAGCAGGATGGATTGAACAGTACGGTCCTCTGATCACCGTCCGCTCAGGAACTGAGAAAATCGTTATCATCGGTCGTCACCAAGTCAGTTCATTTACGCTGAAATGTGACATCCAGGTTATCATACTGTTATAGGCCGCAGTGGAAATCATGGAGAAGCAGGGCGGATCGCTCGCCAATCGTCCTCGCATGATTGCAGCTGGAGAACTCCTCAGCGGCGGACTGTTCGTCGCGTTTACACCCGCTGGAGACAGGCATCGTCGGATGCGTAGGTTCGTATTCAGTGTAATATTTGGGAAACGCGAATTATCCCTATCTTACTTTTGACTGTGATGCAGAGCACTTCATACGCATCTACAGCCTAAAGCAGCTGAAGGGTATCATCCCCTGCAGATATCACACGCGAAAACGACGGTGCTCGAGATTCTCGATGATCCATTGAACTTCCAGAAGCATGCATCGAAGTAAGCGCTATCCCATATCGCGATAATATATTACTCATGGGCATTTTAAAGCTATTCTGCGAGAACGGTCGTCAAAATGACATATGGGGAAAGTCTGCCCGCGGCTACGATTGATACCGAAGTGAAAGAGATGCGCCAGTTCATCGAAACATTCCGCCTAGCTCTGCTCCCTGGCGCTTACCTGGTGGACTCGTTCCCATGGCTCAAATACGTTCCTGGGTATGGACGAAACTTAAAGCGGGAGTTTGAGAAGACCAAGAAACTCTACACCATTCAGCTGGACCGAGTTAAACAACAAATAGTACGCCCTGCCTTTAAATGTTCTGATTCTGTCTCAATTGTTTCACAGAAGGACAATGTGGAAGTCGGGCCTTCGTTCGCGAAATACATGCTAGACAATGATCTCTATGGTTTGTCAGAGATCGAGATGACATTTCTTGCTGGCACTTTCTTTGGAGCAGGGTCTGATACGGTGAGTCCCCTGTTCCGTTGCTCCTAATCCATACAAGTGGCTAAAACAAGTGCTAGATTGCTGTGGCAATGTGTACAGTACTGATGGCAGCAGCACGTTTCCCCGAGGAACAAGCCAAAGTTCAGGCCGACATTGATGCAGTGATCGGAAGGAAGCGAGGTAGCTCGATTTTTTCTTATATTTTTTACCAATTTAACGACTTGTGCAGCACCGACCTTCGCCGACCAAGAATCCCTTCCTCGTCTTCAGGCCTTCATCTCCGAGGCCTTGAGATGGAGACCATTGGGTGTTTATGGTGGGTAACTTCATTGTCAGTCATGTACCTGAAGTTTACACGGGTTCACCTCGCAGGATTTGCTCACCGAACGATTCAAGATGTCATTTGGGCAAGTGCTCTTCAATTTTTCGTCTGAAGCATGTCCTGACGCCGACTGACAGGAAAACTATTGCATTCCCTCCGGGACTACGGTATACGGCAACCATTGGTAAGCACCCATCCTTCAATATACGAAGTATCTAATGGTCTTTGCGTCAGGGCTATCTCTCGAGATCCGGAAGTCTACCCCGACCCTGATTCGTTCAAGCCTGAGCGCTGGATTAACGACCAAGGTCGCCTGAGAGACGACCTCACATACTTTGTCTATGGTTTTGGTCGGCGGTAAGCACCGTCTTTCAATATTTCTCTCTCTCTAACAGTCCTTCATTCCAGCGTATGCCCCGCTCAACACGTCGCGAACAGGTACGAATTATCATTCCGCATATGATCTTCTGAGCTCATTCGATTGGTACAGAGCGATATTCATAACCTCACTCCTTATTCTGTGGGCTTTCAACCTCAGGGTGGATCCTACGAAGCCGCTGGATGACTTTGGTTTCGTGGCTGGCGTGATGCCATATGACCGGCCGTGCACTATTGACTTTAAGACCAGGATTCCGGAAGACGAGCTCAGGCTTATGATGCAGAATCATGCGGAGGCCGCATGAGACGTATTGATGCCTGGATGGGATCGTCTTACTTAAAGAGCGAACTTTGAATACGTTTGGAACAGGCCAATCAACTCGTTTATCACTCTCAGATACCACGGTGGCACGTCGGACAAATATTATGTGAAGGCCACTGTTTGGTAACTTTCTGCAGCATGTGAAAGTCTTGGTCTACAGCAGGATTTGTACCAGAAGAGCTCGAGGCCAGCTGAGAGAAGAGTTAGAAGACGTGTCAATCCTTGCATTCCTGATCATTACATACGAGGATAGAATCACTGTGCTGAAGTAGCAATCAGTGACGTCCACGACGGAGCCAACTCCTTCAGCTCCGAGAGGATGGTCACATAATCCTCGCTCCTGCTACCTATCTGATCCAAAAAATCAACACACCGGCGAGTTACACGCTCTGAAGGGCACGATACTCTCCCTAATACATTGGGGCCCTGGTTTCCTCGAAGCGAAAACGAAGATATTCATGATTACTACTGCGCCTCGATGCTATCCCTGTTGAAACCTTGGCGGCAGTTGGGACAGCTGAAAACCAAGCAGCAAACATGGGAGGAAGCATCTTTGACCTTCATAGCGACTGCAAGCGTGTGGGAACGAGACGTCGTGGCTGGTACTCAGTATCATTATGAATGCAGGACGGCTGCTGAGAGACAATCGAAGGAGAGGAATGGAAGCAGCATAGTCGGCGAAGGACTTGGGTTGTGAAGACAACATCACACTATCAACGAACCAGGGTCAGACTCGAAATTACTCCCACCAGGAGTACAAGAGGACTCAAGTCTCTGTTCGTGAGGAATGGCATGGCATAGCATCTGTAAATATACGACACAATCCACGGACGCCTACTGATATTAGAAGAGCAGTATGCAGTGGCAACGAAGCCGAAAAAAGGAAGCAGCCGAGAAGTAAGGGGAGGACTGCCAAATTAGTCGAACTTGCAAAGATGATGGTGACATTCAACATTGAGACAGACCTTGATGTGGCGAACGGAGCGTGGGGGGAGATCATGGATGTAGTCATGGACAAGAGAGAGACAACATACTCGGAGACAGGGTCAAACTACAATCTCCTCCAGCATATGATCTTGTCAAGCTAGACCGCATGAAAGCAGCCAAACCCGAAACACTGGAGCAAGGTGTGTTACCGATAACAATATTCAGAATTCACGGACCTGGGGGCGAAAAGAAGACTGTGACCTGTAGCCAGCTGCCGGTGGAATCCACATATGCATTTACAACTACAGGTTGCAAGGACAAACAATTAGCGCTTCAGCGACTCGATAATGGTCATTGGGACTCCACCCAGTGCCAAACCAACTCCGTTTGACGCATATGTTGCACTATCCCAAGAATATGGAAAAGCTGACATACATTTATTCCGAGTTTTTGACGATCGCCTGTTTACCACCGTGTAATGATCTCAGAGTGGAGGATGGATACCTTAAGTACTTACTCTACTGGCCTGCAAAGTTGCGGGATGTTGAGTCGGAGTGTCAAAATCAGGTCACTCACGCCACAACAATGCCGATTACCTTAACCGGCTCTACCAAGGCTCGACTGCCAGAAGCAGCCAGATTGACCTACGTTCACATCTCGAAGACGTAGTCCAGACTGGTTACGAGTCTAGTTGCCAATATGTTGGTACCAGTGTACGAAACACCGGCAGGTAACACGCCGCATCATTAATGTTGCTTCAATTTGCATTGTAAGCACCAGTCTTCTCTAGTTTGGCAAGGTAGTGGTATGCTAATTGGAGGTTGGGACCATGAGCGGCGCTACGGTTGCTGATAAGCAGTATCAGCAAACCATCGCAGGCCAGCAGACCAGCAAACATGGGAATGTGTAAATATCCACGTCATTATTGTATGTATATATTTTCAACGTATTTTCGAATCTCGCCACTCATCCCATTCGTCATGGTGCAGCTGCCTGATTTCCACCTTTCTGATAACATGCAACCCGTGCTTTTTGCTGCGGCTTCTCTTGGAGTGGTAGGATCAATCGCTCTGACGTACCTGATCAAGTCAGAGAGTGCACGACCTCTTCCACCTTCTCCACCCACGCGGAGACTTTCGGGGCACTTCCTACCCCCACGCAAGTAAATTTTCGCATTCGCTGATCGTCTTTTACATCCTGCTAATCATTTTCCGCGCGTTTATCAGCCCGTGTCTCACCATAGGGGAATGGATTGAACAGTACGGTCCTCTGATCACCATCCGCTCAGGAGTCGAGAAAATCGTTATAATCGGTCGTCACCAAGTCAGTTCATTTAAGCTAAATTGTGACATCCAGTCTATCACTCCATTATAGGCTGCGGTGGAAATCATGGAGAAGCAGGGCGGATTGCTAGCCGATCGTCCTCGCATGGTTGCAGCTGGAGAACTCCTCAGTGGCGGACTGTTCGTCGCGTTTACACACACCGGAGACAGGCATCGTCGGATGCGTAGGTTCGTAATAAGTGATATTTGGGAAGCGCACATTGTCCTTATCTTACTTTGACTGTGATGCAGAGTACTTCATACGCATCTCCAACCGAAAGCAGCGGAGGGGTATCGCCCCCTGCAGGAATCACACGCAAAGACGATGGTGCTCGATATTCTCGGTGATTCGTTTAACTTGCAGAAGCATGCGTCGAAGTAAGCGCTGTCCTATATCACGATAATATATTACTTATTGAGAAATTTGAAGCTATGCTGCAAGAACGATTGTCAAAATGACATATGGGGAAACTACGCCCGCGTCTACGATTGATATCGAAGTGAAAGAGATTCGCCAGTTCATAGAAACATTTCGCCTAGCCCTGATTCCTGGAAATTACTTGGTGGACTCGTTCCCATGGCTCAAATACCTTCCTGGCTATGGCCGAAACTTAAAACGGGAGTTTGAGAAGACCAAGAAACTCTACACCATTCAGCTGGACCGAGTTAAACAGCGAATAGTACGCCCTGCCTTCATGTGTTCCGATTCTGTCTCAATTGTTCCACAGAAGAACAATGTGGAAGTCGGGCCTTCGTTCGTAAAATACATGCTAGAAAATGGCCATCTCTATGGTTTGTCAGAGATCGAGATGACATTTCTTGCTGGCGCCTTCTTTGGAGCAGGGTCCGATACGGTGAGGTCTCCTGTTCTGTTGTTTTTAATTCACACAAGTGGCTGAATCAGGTGCTAGATTGCTGCGGCGATGTGTACGGTACTAATGGCAGCCGCATGTTTCCCTGAGGAGCAAGCCAAAGTCCAAGCCGAGCTTGATGCAGTGATCGGAAGGCAGCGGGGTAGCTCTATTTATCTTGCATTTTTACCGATCTAACGATTTGTATAGCGCCGACCTTCGCCGACCAAGAATCACTTCCCCTTCTTCAGGCCTTCATATCCGAGGCCTTGAGATGGAGACCGTTGGCTGCTAGTGGTGAGTAACTTCATAATCAGTCATGTGCCTGAAGTTTACACGGCTCACCTCGCAGGATTTGCTCACCGAACGACTCAAGATGTGATTTGGGCAAGTTCTCTTCATTTTTTCGTCCGAGGGATAACCTGACATCGATTGACAGGAAAACTATTGCATTCCCGCCGGGACTACGGTATACGGCAACCATTGGTAAGCATCCGTTCTTCAAGATACGAAGTATCTGATGGACTTTGCCTAGGGCTATCTCTCGAGACCCAGAAGTCTACCCAGACCCTCATGCGTTCAAGCCTGAGCGCTGGATTAACGACCAAGGTCGCTTCACAGATAACCTCTCATTCTTTGTCTATGGCTTTGGTCGGCGGTGAGCACCGTCTTACAAGCCATCCTTTCTCTGACAGTCCTCCCTTCCAGTGTGTGCCCCGCTCAACATGTTGCGAACAGGTACTAATATCATTCCGCACACGATCATCCGAGCTCATTCGATTGGTACAGAGCGATATTCATAACCTCACTCCTTAATCTTTGGGCTTTCCAGCTGACTGTGGATCGTACGAAGCCGCTGGATGACTTTGGTTACTTAGATGGCGTGATGCCATATGACCGGCCGTGTGCTATTGACTTCAAGACCAGGATTCCGGAAGACGAGCTCAGGCTTATGATGCAGAATTATACGGAGGTCGCATGAGATTGATGCCTGGATGGGATCGCCACTACTCAGAAAATGAACTTTGGGTATGTTTGGAACGCGCCAATTGATTCGTTCAGACCCGCAGATTGACATGACAGATTTTTCTCTTCCTTCAGATCGAGTCCTTTGGAGTCATTGACGGTCATGTCTTGTCATATGGGGTTTTCTTGTCGTATGTACTTGTATGTGGAGTGGCGCGCTGGTATATTAATTCGGACATGAACTTCTCACATCGTCTGGCAGGACGGCGCAGGCAAGCACAAAAGGGAGATTGCGATAAAAACCGTGTTTGCAGAGTGTGGTGCCAGCAGGATAGGCAACGTCAGAGGTGTACTTTTTTGACTTCGCAACTTTTCCAGGCGTCGGGCGAGTAATGCAAAAAAACCGACAAGGAAATGTGATATTTTGCCGATGTGCAGTTCGATGCGTCTCAGGGAATAGTACTACACCGAAGGCGGCGGTGTGGGACACGAACCACAATGTCATCGAGCAGACATACAAGGAGGCAGGGTACGAATTACCGGAAATCGTGTACTGGGACCTATCCACCGCATATCATTATCCAGGTATCACTGCTCCTGTGATTAGCGAGCGGAGGGGCGTTGGGCTGCTGAACGGATATACTTACTCGCCGTCGCTGTTGAAAGTGTTCATGGACAGAGCGAAAGAAGAGAAGTAGGAGGAAGTGACTCAGGCGAAGGTGAAGAAGATGTTCACTCCCGTGGAGGAGGAGGATTTTCGATGAATTTGTTGTCGTTGATTGAAGGTTCGTTAACATGTATCACTAGTAGTACACCAGTAACCGCGACCGCGTTGACAATACGCGCCTGGTCACATGACGCGCCAAATAAAGCCCACCTTTGGTTCAAACATCCAGTCAACACCCGTCGCTATTGAGTCAAACGTTCAAGAACATCCCCAATTCAATGTAAGCACGTTGCACTAGAACTATCTCAGTATTCTAATACTTCTTGAAGCATTGTAGTCACGATAAAATTCGGTGGGAAAGGAGTGGTTGTACTGGCAGGGAAGGCTTGGTTTGGGTCATTCCGCGCCTCAAGACCGTATAAGATTCAATGGATATCATTTCCCTGGCTTTGAGGAATGTCAGGCCATCGATTTACTTCTACACCAAACTTCGTCATGTGAAAACCCTCTAGGGGAAAGGCTATTGGTGTATTGCCTTCACCTATGCATTGAAGTAGGTACTGAAGACGGATGGTCCGCCCCGCTGGTCCGTACCACGACGGCATGGTTTACATGTTGTGCAGATGCTCCTCAATGCATGGAAATACTTGCCAATATGTTGGCATCCTAGTGTATGATAAACCAGCAGGTATTACGCCGATCACTAAATCTAGTTTCAAGTTGCATTGCAAGCACCAGTCCCCTCTAGTTTGGCGGGAGAATCGGAGGCCGAGATCATGAGCGCGGCGCTACGGTCACTGATATGCAGTATCAGCAAACCATCGCAGGCCAGCAGACCAAGATATATCGGGTTTTCATTTTAGCCGCTCGCTGTACCATCAGCGCAGCAAGCGGAACATGTAAATAGCCACGAATATATGTGTTTTCAACACATTTTTGAATCTCACCCCACTCATCCCATCGGTTATGGTGCAGCTACCTGAATTGCACCCTTTTGATAACATGCAACTCGTGCTTGTTGCTGCCGCTTCTCTTGGGGTGGTGGTGTCGATCGCTCGGGTGTACCTGATTAAGCCAGAGAGTGCCAGGTCTCTTCCACCTTCCCCACCCACGCATAGACTTTTGGGGCACTTCCTGCCCTCTCCCAAGTAAATTTTCACGTTCAGACTAACCGTCTTTTACATCCTGCTAATCATATCCCATGCGTTGATCAGCCAGTTTCTCACTATAGCGAGATGGATTGACCAGTACGGTCCTCTGATCACCATCCGCTCAGGTGCTGAAAAAATCGTTTTCATCGGTCGTCACCATGTCAGTTCATTCACACCAAGTTGATACATCTAGGTAATCATGATATTATAGGCTGCGATGGATATCATGGAGAAGCAGGGCGGATCGCTAGCCGATCGTCCTCGTATGGTCGCAGCTGGAGAAATCCTTAGCGGCGGACTGTCCGTCGCGTTTGCACCTGCTGGAGACAGGCATCGTCGGATGCGCAGGTTCGTAATCCGTGATATTTCAAAAGGGTGCATTGCTCCTAACTCACTTTTGATTGTGGTGCAGAGCACTTCATACACATCTTCAGCCTAAAGCAGCTGAGGGGTATCACCCCCTGCAGATGTCACACGCGAAAAAGACGGTGCTCGATATTCTCGATGATCCACGCAACTTCCAGAAGCATGCGACGACGTAAGCGCTGTCCTATCTCATCATAGTATATTACTTATGAGCATTTTGAAGTTATGCCGCGACGACGATTATCAAAATAACATATGGGGAAACTACTCCCGCGTCCACGATTGATATCGAAGTGAAAGAGATGCGCCAGTTCCTTGACACATTTCGCCTAGCTCTGCGCCCTGGCGCCTACCTGGTGGATTTAATTCCATGGCTGAAATACCTTCCTGGGTATGGCCGAAACTTAAGGCGGGAGTTTGAAAGGACCAGAAAACTCTACACTACTCAGCTGAACCGAGTTAAACAGCACGTGGTATGTCCTGACTTCAAATGTTCCGATTCTGTCTCAATTGTTCCACACAAGAACGATGTGGAAGTCGGGCCTTCGTTTGGGAAATACATGCTAGAAAATAACCATCTCTATGGTTTGTCAGAGATCGAGATGATATTTCTTGCTGGCGCTTTCTTTGGAGCAGGGTCCGATACGGTGAGATATCCTGTTCCGTTCTTTTTGATTCATACAAGTGGCTAAATCAGGTGCCAGACTGCTGTGGCAATATGTACGGTACTAATGGCAGCCGCATGTTTCCCTGAGGAACAAGCTAAAGTCCAGGCCGAGCTTGATGCAGTGATCGGAAGGAAGCGAGGTAGATCTATCTATCTTGCATTGTTTTCACCAATCGAACGATTTTGACAGCACCGACCTTCGCTGATAGACAATTTCTTCCTCGTCTGGATGCCTTCATCTCTGAGGCTTTGAGATGGAGACCGTTGACTCCTAACGGTGAGTATCTTCATTGTTGGCTCTGTACCGGATGTTGACAATGTTCTATCGCAGGATTTGGTCATCGAACGACTAAAGACGTAATTTGGGCAAGTAGTCTTTAAAGATTTTGTGGTGTGAAGAATAACTTGACATTGCCTGGCAGGAAAACTACTGCATTCCCGCCGGGACTAGGGTAATTGGCAGCCATTGGTAAGCATCTTCCTTCAAAACAACAAGGACTCAACGAGTGCATTCTTAGGGCCATCTCTCGAGATCCAGAAGTCTATCCTGAACCTGAAGCATTCAAGCCTCAGCGCTGGATCAACGACCAAGGTCGCTTGAGAGACGACCTCACATTCTTTGTCTATGGCTTTGGTCGGCGGTAAGGACCGATATCTAAGCTAGACTTTCTCTGACAATCCTTCCTTCCAGCATATGTCCTGCACAACACGTTGCGAACAGGTACCAATATCATTCCACATACAATCTTCCCAGCTCATTCGATTGGTACAGATCGGTGTTCATAAACACGCTCCTTATTCTTTGGGCTTTCCAGCTCAATTTGGATCCTACGAAGCCGCTGGATGACTTTGGGTTTATGACTGGCATAATGCCATATGACCGGCCGTGTACTATTGACTTTAAGACCAGGGTTCCAGAAGACGAGCTCAGGCTCATGATGCAGAATTATCCTGAGGTCGTATGAGATGGATGCCTGGATTCGATCATCACTACTTAGGGAACGAACAAGCTTTGAATACGTTTGGAACGAATCAATTAACTTGTTTATCCCTTTCATACCCACAGATCACTGATGGTGCGATTTTCCGATGGTGCGATCATATGAGGCAGAGAATATATGTGCGCCATCCTTGGACCAACATAACGATTCTACCCAGGCATCATATCATGTCCCTTTATCCCAAGAAGCAGCTCGCCGGTCTTTGACCACACCCGGATCATTTGGTCGTTGCTGTTTGCAAATCTGTCGCCTTGTGGAGAATATTTGACTGTCCGCATACGTTCATGGCCGGGTTCCATCGTCGTATAGTGCCATCCAAAAATCCGCCTTCTACCTCCACCCCATTCGGAGACCAATCGAGGCACCACACTGCATTATTATTCCCCTCCCACAGTCACCGACCACGCCGCATCAGTAAACCGGTGAGACTCAGATATTGTACAATGAAAAGTTAAATATCACAAAACAATATACCATCTAAAAGGTACTTGATGCACAGAATGATTACCGAATATCTATATACAATTAATACAGCCCATTCACACCATCAGCCGCATCATCACTCACATCGGACGTCGTCACAACCCACTATTATACCCACCATCCTCATCCTCCAGCCCATCCGACGTACACCTCAAATCCTCCACCTCCTCCACCTCACAGCTCAAGCGTTCTGAGCCCTCAATACCCAGCGCCTCGCGCTCCACCGGCAGGATAGTCGCATGCGACATCCGTGCAGCAAGACTTTCTCCACCACCCGGACTGTCAGCGAGCGTGAATAACTTCAACTTCGGCAGAAGCGCTTCTGCACTCCTTGCGCCACTACGTATGCGGAATGGGATCATCTCGCCATAGGGTGCACCGTGTTCGAGGCTTGACGGTGGTAGGGTACTAAGGGAGGCACGGGCTAGAGCGAGAAGCGTGCTCCCAGGGATACAAACGTGCGTTCAAATACATCTCAATTTGACGCGAATACATCAGCAAACTACCGTTTTCGCCACAGACCTCACAGGCCTCACAAACATGCCACAAGGTTTTACAGACCTCACAAACATGCCACAAGGTTGACAGCCTCACAAGACTAAAACTATTAAGTAGTAGTCTAGTAACTTGATAGTTGACACTCGATAGTCTAATATAACCATACATTAGTCACATTACTTGTGTGCCTGAACTTTCTTGAACACACTACTTTCTAGTGTTTTGCTTATTACTCACTAGGATCTTAAGCAAAAAATATCATAAGACTATGGATAGACTACCCTTGACAAGGGCTACAACTTTGATTTTTATCGTAAATGTTCCCACGGTCTACCCTAGTCATTCCTTATCATGGTCCTTAATCAAAATCCTAGTCCCTAACAACCAAAAAGTCGAAATTTCATAGTCTTTCTTTACTATTGGTATTCCTGTTGGTTCTTAGTCTTAATAAGCAAACATCAGTCACATTACTTGTGTGCCTGAACTTTCTTGAACACACCACTTCGTAGTATTTTGCTTATAACTCATTAGGATCTTAAACAAAAAATTTCATGAGACTACAGATAGACTACCCTTGACAAGGGCTGCAACTTTGATTTTTATCGGAAAGATTCCCACGGTCTACCCTAGTGCCTGAACTTCCTTGAACACACCACTTCGTAGTATTTTGCTTATAACTCATTAGGAACTTAACAAAAAAATGACATGAGACTATGGAAAGACTACCCTTGAGAAGGGCTATAACTTTGATTTTCTTCGAAAAATGTACAAAGGTTTGCCATAGTCACTCCTTATCAAAATCCTAATGGAAGACTATTGTATTAGACAATCAAGTATTGTATTTTATTCTAAGTCCAATGGATATGGTATATATATCAGTTGCTGCTTTGACATTTACAAGGTCCTTTAGTGTAGTGGTAAGTGCTGCTTGAAACTGTGAGAATTGATCATGTGATTTCATCTGGTCAACTGTGTGGTCGAGGGTTCAAACCAAATAAGTGGCAAAAATTCAATTAATAGAAATGATCATGTGATAGGTTGTGGGATTAATAGACAGTACTTGATTTCTTTTATTGATCATAATATCAAAAATTACAGGGCTACAGACTTTACAAGCTCACAGACCTACAAGTTGTACAGTCTGTGCCTCCTTGTACAAGCTTGTACAAACCTGCACAGGGGGGACTTAGCTGTAGACCTTGTGAGTTTGTACAAACTTGTACAAATCTGTACAAACCTGTACAAGCACCTGGTAGTTTGCTGATGTAGGCGAAGTCCTATTCATCCGAAAAGAACATAAATACGTCGCTATACTATGATGTGTGGGATAAAATTGACGCACGAACCTTGTGTACATCGTGTTGAGGTGTATGGGAGAGAAGGCTGCGCCTGTTGCGGGGCCTAGCTCTGAACAGAACCTATGTGTATGGCAGGCGTGGAGAAACCAATGTCTATGGCACTGGATCTGTTCAACTATTCTACACACGTAAAACTCACACACACACACACACACAGACGACACACACACTCATACGAAACACACAGCCACTCGTTCACATACACTGGCACATTCTTGTATCGTAGAAAAATCAGTACTGCCAATGTCCATTCATAAAATTTCTTGACTTGGCAAGCCCAAGGTATCCAACTCTGCACGTGTCAGCATTGGGCCAGGCTCCGTGATCAGAGCCGCCGACAACTGCTGAGCCGTCTCCTCAACAAGATCAACAGTGAGATGGAATGCTGCTCCTTTTTTCACTGTTTGAAGCAGGATCTTCCAGCACTCTGGATTCATCCTTCCAATCTCGGACCCAAGCTCCTGGAAGCGCTCGACGGCTTCACGGAAATATTGAGGATTGCGACCATCAAGGAGAAAATGGGCCATCGAGTTCCACCACAGTTGCCGCCAGTCAATGGAACATGTGGTGTTGTCGGTGCAGTATGGTGAATGCTCAATAATGGGCGGCTCCTCGCAGGCAACAATGCGGCGGTGCTCATCAAGAAGCTCTTTTAAATCCACAAATGCATTCCAGACTTCAAACCCAAGTCTCTTTCGCACTGGTCCTGGAATATTGCGAACACGAAATTCAATGAGACGGCGAAAAGTGGGAACGAAGAACTTCTGAATCGAAAATTCGAGACAGAGTGCCAGAAGTTCATATGGTTTGTGTCAAAATCGATGTTCTTGAAGGTGATTAATGGCAACATCACGAGCTTTTTGACTCATGAACTTGTTGCTGAATCGAAGAAGGTCAACAACATCGTCATGAGTGGGACCTTCAGGTTTCCAACTGTATAGTAGTCCCACATTTAGAATAAATGCAGTAGCTTGAAAACTCGTCTCACCTGCTGTATGCAACTGAGAGGAACAATTCAAACATATTCATGCTGAGTTCAGGAATAACAATTGGATGGTCGTCGCTTGAGCCTTCCGTGCCTTCCATTGGCCGTAATTGCATCAGCAAATCATGGTGCTCCTTATTGTTCCTTAAGTTACTTGAAAAAATTACCAAGGTGGCTAAGGAGAATAAGTAGAATTAAGTCGGTGGCTAAGGAGAATAAGGAGAATTAAGTAAGTCCAAGTTAGCTAAGGAAAATTAAGGAAACATCAGTCATATTACTTGTGTGCCTGAACTTTCCTGAACACACCACTTCATAGTATTTTGCTTATAACTCATTAGGATCTTAACTAAAAAATGTCATGAGACTATGGAAAGACTACCATTCACAAGGGCTACAACTTTGATTTTCATCGGAAAGATTCCCACGGTCTACCCTAGTCATTCCTTATCATGGTCCTTAATCAAAATCCTAGTCCCTAATAAGCAAAAACTCGAATTTTCATCAAGTCTTTCTTTACTATTGGTATTCCTGTTGGTATTCTTAGTCTTAATAAGCAAACATCAGTCATATTACTTGTGTGCCTGAACTTTCCTGAACACACCACTTCGTAGTATTTTGCTTATAACTCATTAGGATCTTAACCAAAAAATGTCATGAGACTATGGAAAGACTACCCTTGACAAGGGCTATAACTTTGATTTTCTTCGAAAAAATTCATAAGGTCTACCATAGTCACTCCTTATCAAAATCCTAATGGTAGACTATTGTATTAGACAATAAAGTATCGTATTTTATTCTAAGTCCAACAGATATGGTATATATATTAGTTGCTGCCTTCACATATACAAGGTCATTTAGTCTAGTGGTAAGTGATGCTCGAAATTGTGTGAACTAATCAGGTGATCTCAGCTGGATAGTGCATGGTCAAGAGTTCAAACTGAGTCAGTGGCAGAAAATAAAGTGGTGAAATTAAGTAATCATTTTTCTCGATCTCCTCACACTTTCCGACTGCCTTATTCTCCTTAAACCGCCTTAAAATAAGGAGGTTTCGAGGAAAGCTCCTTAGTTTAAGGCAATGCATCTCCTTATTCTAAGGAAGATTTAAGTGTGAATTAAGGTGAATAAGGACAAATAAGGAGCAAATAAGGAACAATAAGGAACACCATAATTTCCTGATGTGATCTCCAACCGAAAACATCTCCTCGAACGCAATGGAGGTGCGGGATAATTGAGTTGCATGGACCTTGAATAGTGCATTTTTGACCTGCTTTTTCAAGTTGACTGTTAGTATTGTCAAGGGAAACCAAATGAACAAAACAATCTGACCAAGAAAATGTGAGTATCGTCGAGTATATAGAAACGGCGGTGTCGAAATTTGAGAATACTTGGAGTCAACGTGCCCACTGTTGGAGCCCCAAACATGATGGTTGTGAGACTCTGGGATATTTTGAGGGTTGGATTCCGAGTCGGTCCAGTCGGAGCACAAAGGACGTAAATGTAGTATAGTGGGTGTGGTATGCTTACCACACAAGTTCTCTGCTTCGTCACGTCCATCTTCACCGAGCCGCCAGTGGCCAACAATGGATCTTCCAGGTCTACCAGAACATGAACATCAATGGCCACAAAATATCTATACTGCAGATGGTATCATCCGTAATGTCTACAATGCTGCAATGAGAATGCTTCGGTCAAATGATGCAGAACTAACCAGAGTGGCATACCATTATGATGCACTGTCTGCAGAGGCCCTACCTTTGCTCGAAGCAATCGAAAGTGATTCAAGTCCAGCTGATTACCAGCTTCTGCGTGACTGGCTACTAGCATGTGCTAGGCTTGTGGGGGAGGCACATCAGGGAAAACCTCTTCCGGGAAATAGGGCGAATTTGTGTAAATGATGGTGTTTTATCGAGTTTTATTGTGTTTTATCATCATGTTTCAGATTAGTGACATTTATGAACTAACCAACAGCCCCCTGACGCCTTCGTTGGAATAAAGTGGGCAAAAGTGCAATAAAGTGTGCAGCATTAATAAATCTTTGTAATAGATGATCCTCGAGCAATATCACAATGACGAAGGTGAAACAAATATTATATTGTCATTCAGACTCAATATACAATATACTACATAACTGCTAATGAACGGGGAGATTGCAATGAACACACATGAGCGGATAGTAGCAACAGATGAAAAAAAATCACTAGACATGAAGGAGCAGTTAGCAAGGCTCAACATCAACAGAGCAATACACTTACACCATAACAACAATCAATTTGCTCTGGTCAGCAAGACTTGAGGTTGACAGACAATGGGCACACTTGAACCCCGAAATAAGATCATAATTGCGTCAGTCAGCAAGGCTCGAGATTAAAGAATGGCCACACTGACTAGCTTCAATGGAAAAGTGATTTCTGTGGTCAGCAAACCTCAAACTCGCCAGAGGATCAAACTGGGTCACTCGCGTCAAGTAGTGCACCGTCCCGAGTATCGCTAGCATGTACAACAGTGGCCTTCAGCGTGAGCGAAGGATTGACACCACGAACGGGTGGGAAGGACAGTTCTACGCGATATGAGTAGATACGCATAAGTGAGAAGTAGATTACTCACCGAATTGTTCATCTCCATGATCGAGCAACTCATCCCATGATGGTTGAAGTCTCTTAGTGGTGGGTGGAATGAGCAGTAGGAGAAGACGGGGGTAGGATATGTGGACTGTAGATGGAGTTTGGCGACAGCGCGAGGGTTCGGTGGTGGCTGATAGGTACACCCAAGGAGTGTGCGACTGAAAGTGCATGCGCTTTCATTGCTCATGAGTCGAGCTGGAAAAGCACGTTGTAAGGAGACATTCGACAAGGCCAAGGTTGGTTGATGTCGTGTTGTGGTTGAACATTGAACATTGAAATTTGAAAGTTCGAACCAAAAGTCATGTGAGTGCACGTGGGAAGTAAACAAACAAGTGCAAATGTTGGACTTCAGAACATTTCAAACGTGTACAAACATTGCAAGCGTCTCAATAAGCATCGCTTTGCCTCAAACGTCCTCGCCTTCTTCGCTACATCCGACAGCGGCATTGTCAATGAAAACCTTATTGAACATTTCTCCAATGAGGTCTGGGTCGCGCTTGGTCGCATTCACTGCCGCGGAAGGCATATTCTTGGGCTCCGAGTCCCTTCGTGTCCATATTCTGGCTCAAGGAACACGGTCTCATGCCTGGTCTTACGTTCTCCAACGAGCTTATCAGCTGTGAGTGAGGGTTTGCATACTGACTTTGCTTGCTTGCTCTTTAGCCACCTCAAGCATTGCCTGCACCCTGAAGTGACTGGTGTGTGTGTTGTCTGTATGTGTGTCAATTTTACGTGTGCAGAATAGTTGAACAGATCCAGCGCCATAGTCTCGCAGCAGGTGAGTTCGCTATGTGGCGAGCAGCTGTTCCTGCAAAACGGACGAGCTTAGATGTTCTTAATGCTTCCCCCTTGTTTTTTTTTAATGCCTTATAAGACATGTATTATATATACTTACTTCAATGTAGGTTGATATACATCCATATTTTCCGTGAATATGTATCTTTCTGTAATAATATGTGATAAAGTTGAGAAAGTTGACTAAAACCAAGTAATTCTGCAAATTTCGCATGGGAGCTTTTCCCTGATGCAGCTGCAATGCTCCAGGACATCAGCCGAAATCTTCATGTGTAAGTACCTCCAAACTAGCCTGAAGCTCTGCCATCTGAATACTATCACTAGGGAAAATGTTGAACAATCAAATGTGATAATCCCAGAGCTTGTGACTCTGGACCATCAGGGACATCGAGGGCATCAGAGAAAAACCATTAACCTTGAATTTGTCCGTGAAGCCCTATCTAGCCAGCGGCATATCATGCTGCCAGATCTCGCACGACTCCTTCAAGTGTCCCGCACCACTTTGTGGAAATTTGTTCGTCAACATGGTCTCGAAAAACGCTTCGCAACGATTAGTGATATTGATCTCGATCAACTTGTGAGGAATTTCAAAGAACGCAAACCAGAATTGGGACTCCGGTACCTTGTGGGTTTCCTTCGGCAGCAAGGCATTCGAGTCCAGCAGCATCGTCTTTGGCAGTCCCTGCGCAGAGTTGACAGGCTCGGACAAAGACTAAGAGAACGACGTGTTACGAGAAGACGAAAATACCGAGTTGCTCGACCAAATGCACTATGGCATATGGACGGTCATCACAAGCTCATTCGGTGGGGCTTTGTCGTCCATGGATTCATTGATGGGTATTGTCGCACCGTAAATTCATCTATTTATAAAAGCGACGATATAAGCATAATAACCTTACTGTTTCAACAGATAACAGCACTGAGGGCCAGCACAAATAATCGTGCATCAACTGTGTTAGAGCTGTTCGTGCATGCAAAGAATGAATATGGCATGCCATCTCGTGTTCGTGGAGATCGTGGAGGGGAGAATCTTCAGGTTGCTACGCACATGGTTGCAACAAATGGCCACAATCGTGGATCATTCTTATGGGGATCGTAAGTGGAGCCCCGAAGAAATTTACTTGACTAATAATGCCTCACAGATCAACACGAAATTCTCGCATTGAACGATTGTGGGTTGAAGTAGGCACACAGTTTGCACGCCGATGGCGAGGATTCTTTACCAGGCTCGAACGACTTCATAAACTCGATGTTGACAACCCCGGGCATCTTTGGCTCCTTAGCATGCTCTTCTCAAATGCACTCAACAATGATTGTCAACAATTTCAACAAGAATGGAATTCCCATCCTATTCATGGTTCTGATACCAAGGATCGAAGCCCTCAGGTCAGTGAATACTTGGTGCTGTGGAATTATTATCTCACGACGAAGAACTTGAAGGACATGCGACTTTTAGGACAGGCATCATTAGGTGTCTACAAAGACGAGTTTGAGGGGATCCATCCTGCAATCCTGCAGCGCTATTATGGTATTCATGGCAGAGAAATGGTCCGCCATCACAATCAGACAGGTGCTGGCCACCCGAATGATGAGTCAGACGAATCAGATGAAGGTAGTATTATTGGCCGTATCGAGCAGGATCAAGCAAATGATGTCCAACATGATGCTGTTGAGGTCCCAGACGGTAATGTCCCTTTTCAGAACGAAGAGGATGAAAATTTGTTCTTTGAAATACTTGAGGAGGTTGTCATGGAGGGTATTGTACCGGAGGGATACAATTTACAGGAGGGCGAAGATGAGTATGATGAAAACACAACTGAATATTTACGAGTTGGAAGACGGAGGGAGAATTATGTTGAAATATCATTGGCAGACCCTATCTGGAGAACTCGCTCAACATTATGGGCTCAGGCAGCTAGTGTTCTAGGTCATTTTGAAGCAGATGTATTTTTCTAGTTCAATAGTACTTGACAAAGTTCGGAATACAGTTAGGAACCCACCACATAAAAATTCCGCACCTCGCCGACTTGTTTGTGGTCTGGTCCTCTCTTCCATCTCACTCGGAATGGCAAAGCCGGTATATTGCAAGGGCAATCCTGACGAATCAGTACCTTGCTATTGCGAAGAGTACTCTGCACCTACGAATCTTCCAGTCGGCCAAAAAGAGCTTTGTGCAGAATGTTTGCATGGGAAGAGCAAACATCCTCGACCTCAACATCCTGCACCAGTGGCTGAGCTGTCGGTACCTCCGATGCTAGATCAGACTGGGAGTGCTCCATCGAGGCCAAGACCAGCAGCAACAACTGCAAAAGAACGAGTTGGAGTGACAGCTATATACAAGCAATCACTCACTCGGCAAGCCGGACAAGGCTCAGAACTCAAATTCAATGCATTTTCCAACAGTCAGAATATGGCTACAGCTGCGAGAGGTGAGGTTATGGCAGGATTCCGTCCACCGGCAAAGCGAAGATTCACAGTGAGTAACCTTGTCTGATTTTTGTGTCTCACGAATAATCAGTATTACCCAGGGCAGGGCCATATCCTCAAGACAGGCCAGCTCTTCGAAGCAGGGACAAGCCCAGATCAAAGTCGGTGCCGTCGCTGTCTTGATCAATTACCTCGATGTACGTTAGCCTAAACACGCTATGACTACTAGTATGAGCTTACTCGGTGACGAAAGGACAAAGGAGAGTTGATAACCACAGTCCCGCCTGTCAGGACAGAGATGTCGAAGTTGAAGCGAAGGGGATGTGCTCACTTTGATGGAGATCAGTCTGAGAATGACAGTGTGGATTTTAGCTTTTGTCCAGACTGGACATTTCACGAAGTTGATGCTTACATTTGAAGACTTTTTCCAAAGGTCTTTGGATACCTTGACTCTGTGAAGGCAGGTGATGTAAAGGGAAAGGCCATTGACAATGGAGCATCTGAATGGGTGTTAATTTCAAAAGAGAACCGCAGACTGAGTGTCGCACCTGAGCCATTCCCGAACGGCAAACATCTTGAATGGTACAAAGGCAGAGATAATGCCCCTCTTCAACAGACAAATATTTTTATCGGTGAGCCATTAATAAGCTCACTGCGGATTTTTTAATCAGTGTGCAATAGCTATCCGGACATACGTACCTGAGCATACTTATGCACACTGGGACCCAGACATGGTCGTTATTGATATAGATGATGGCGACAGCGACGACAGCGGTGACAAATATCAAGATGACGAGTTTAAAGTTGAAGATGATTTGGACGACATTTTCACTGCTCCAAAGATCAGTCAGTGAATTTGAAAGCTCTCACGTGCACGCTCTCACTGTGTGTTTGAAATTTATTTAACTTTTACTACTTACTCCAGCACGTCCAAAACGCTTGATGCAGTCTAATGAACGTGAAACACGTCAAGAACCAGCTCGAAAGAGGTTGCGTGGAAGTAAGTCCTACCATTCGGATTGTATGCGAAACAACACTACTAACACATCATATTTAAAATCAGCTGGTGGTCAGCCCATTGCATCAAAGATGGAGAACAAGGTGGCAAGATCTTCGGGCCAAGTTAAACGCAAGTGTCGAGTGCTTTCATTGTCTACTCAAACGTCTAACACTTGGAATTTTACAGTTTTTGGTCCTGGCTCTGATACAGATGATGGCCTCGACACACCACCAGCTAGTTTGAAAGGGATGTCAATCTCACCGCAGACTCAGAGACGTGCTCCACGCCATAATCTGATGATGCCGTCAATCAAAGATGAAGAACACCACGTCAACCTACAAGACTCAGAAGTCTTCGCAAACATTCAGACTCATGCGTCCGCAATCCCGGTACCTAATCGACCACTCTTCCGGCCTCTCGTTTCAGTTGAGCCCACGATGAATGATATATTGCGTGGCCACCCAGATGTCAATGATCCATTGTCGCGTCCGTTCCACAACCCTTGGACGACCAACTACTTCATTGGTTCTATTAAACTCTGGCTTTAATTTTGTGGCATAGAACTCGAAAATCTCATCATAATCCCATTGCAGCCACGACACTACTACTACTATTGTCCCCTTCATACTTTAATTCCCCTTGCTCCTTTGAATCCTCCTTTCTTAATCTTAGTTTTATGCTTTAATTCCTCGCTCCTTCCGAGTCCTTCGAATCTTTCTCGACAATCCACAACTGGACTAACCGTCTCAATGACAACGAGTATCATTTTGTCTCACACGTCCTCGCCTTCTTCGCTGCGTGACGGCGGCATTGTTAATGAAAACCTCGTTTCTCCAATGAGGTCCCCACTGAGGCCCGGTGCTTCTACGGCTTCCAAATCATGATGTAAAATATTCAGTCCCAGACGCCGGTAGACATACTCACTGCTCGTCGACACCGTTTGCATCAAGGATCCACCCAGCGCGAATATATTTGACATCATGGAGACTATTCCTTGTGTCAAGTGCAAGGCGGATTGGGTACTCAAGACTTTCGATGAGCGCTCGGTCACATTCGCTGCCATGGAAGACATTTTTCTCGGGCTCCCTTCGTGTCCATCTTCTGGCTCAAGAAACGCATCTCATGCATCAGGAAAACATCGGTCCACTTAAATGATCCTTAAAGTGTCTTAGATGTCTTAATCTCTGTCCTCCCCTTCGCAGTGTGATCACTGACTATCTACACCCTGCAGCATCATTACCTGGGCCGAGGTCTCCATCCATCTCTCGATGACGCCGCTAACATATCGAGAGGATTGTACAGCCATACTGTACTGGCGCCATCATCACCAGGCATTCCAAAACACGAACCTGCGCTGGTACAACCACCATCGAAGCACAAGAAGTTTGTATTCGCTTCGCCCGCTGTTTGGTGATGGTGAGCTTCCTTTAATGACCCCCCTACCTGGCGATGACGACGCTGATACTATACGGGCAGTACAATCCTCCATACACGGGGGCGTCGGTGGCGATGCGGTTGAGGTTGGGGATGTAGATGTAGAATAACTTGGCGACGGCGTGTCCGGTGTTGTCAGCGGGGTAATGGTCCCTATCCTACTTACATACTTCCCTCCTCATCCAAGACCACCCCCCCCCCCCCTACCACGAATCCATTCCCGCCTCCTCCAACCGCCTTGGCACCTACTCCATCTTATGGTCATCGTGGCTACCCTTCTCCACCAAAGCCCACATACCCTCCACCCACCTCCTACTTGAGTGAATGCTTTCCCTGTCAGTCCCATTGGCATGAACGCAGGCTTGGCATTTAGCGGTACATCGAGTTCGTCGCAGACCACTTGCTGGTATCACCGGGCAATGACAAAGTACAATGCCACCAACCCCTTCATCAGCAGCTTCGTTTGCAATATGAATTGCTTATCACAATGCTGAATTTGTCGAATCATGTCTGATCTGATTGTGTATACTATACATGCTTTCGTGTAGCTAAGTGTGTACGCATACGAGTGATTGTGTGTTTCGTATGAGTGTGTGTGTCGTCTGTGTGTGTGTGTGAGTTTTACGTGTGTAGAATAGTTGAACAGATCCAGCGCCATAAATGTCAAGCTCAGATGAGCACTTTAAGTGGTGCCTTATCCCATGTGCATGACCGTTGGTGATGGACAGGGACGGCTGGCGTATCGACGATGTAGGGCCAATCTAATTCAGTGGACATACGGCCACTTGTGAACGTGCGAGCTGAAGCGAATAAACATTATTTGAATTACATGCAGACATGCAAGCGCCTGCAAAACTGAGAACTTACAATTAATTGTCTTGCAGCACATTAATGATGCCAGAGAATGAGGAAAAAATGACTTTTGAATCGGATGTCTGGACTCTGCATGTTGTTTGCTACACTACAGATGACACGAGGCAGGAAAGTTAAGAGGAAGGGACATGCGATCACGTGAGGGCGCTTCTGAAGTTCGGAACAGTACTTGCTCACGTGCACTTATCCTCACCGGATTTGGCGCTCACGTTTTTGCTTTTATAGTTACTGGGACACTCAAGTTCACCGTGATCGTGAAATTTGAATGGCATGATGTGAGTCTCATTCCTGGTATCTGTCTGTCCTTTTCTATCCTTGTATGGCTACTGCCCAGCCCAAAGGCACTGGCTCTGATATGCGGAGCGTGCTGTGCCATCAAATCGTCACCTGGGCACAGCAGAGGTTCGGTGTGCGGTGCACACTGCACAGGCCCGCCTTGGCAGTTCTTGCGTCTGGCATTAGATCGATGGTCTCGTCTGAGACCACGAACTCCCATAACGAAAGACTCAATCGCTTGTAAACCTTTTGTGCACCGCCCAACTGTATAGCAATCGATTCCGAGATGGCAACAGTGATCAGTTGAATGATTCCGGTTGCATCATGATCAAGGAGCAGTGGCGTAGAAGTGCACGATATTCACGTCGCTGGTACTTACCAGGTACTATCTCTGATGTGTCGAATAGAACTTCTCCTTTAAAGGCTTCTGGCTGTGTTATATCGGTCTGGAGGCTCAAAATAACCAGGGGGAATTTCAATAATGCTTATCGGTCATCATACTTAAGTAACCCTTGCAGGGGTATCGTTCTGAGTGCTTGCGGGCAGGTACCACAAGGCGCATACTGATTTTTCATACTGACATGTCTTCCCTGTCGGTCTCAGATCTCGCGAAGATACAGACGGTCAAGGTAAGCGAAGTTCTGCTTGGCCCTGATATACTCGAGGCTTACATTATGTCTAATCCAGTACGCTAATTGTGAGTCTCCGTGGATCGTCCGAAAATTGAATGGCGGCGCTGAATGTTGTTTTCTTAGTGGGCAGTCTTGCAATCCTCGTGAGTATCAAACGCATTTCTTGTGGTTACGGCTCAATATTAATGTCTCCTTCGATGTCGCAGGTATTCGATTATTGTGTCACTTTTCCCGAAGAGGTCGGGAAATAATCTATATGTCCGCGAGCGTTGTTCTGATCACTCCCCACAGGTGAAATGGACCTGGTTCAAACCATGGGATTTCACTCGCGTCATCTTCACCATTTCTCGATATCTGCCTTTCGCGGGTGTTGGAATGACTGCATATGGCGAGTCATCCCACTACGATGCTCCTTATCTTGTTAGTTGCTGACGGGCCTATCTTAGATGCATTGCGTGTCAGCAATCAGGTAAGCTTGGGTTGCGAATAGTTTCTATGATAAGCTGATTGCATGTGCAAAGTGCGCCTCTACTCTGGAAGGAAACAGTGAGTCGGTGTGCCCAACGATTCATTTTCACTAAGTACAAAAATGTGAATGTCAGTCATTCACATAATAGGTATCGTTGCTGCGGAAGGTGCGACTTCCTCATACATGTCAAGAACGCAGTGAATCATACTTCCTTTGCAGCCCTGCTTGTTCTTCGAACCTGGGCGTTCTGGCAAAAGAGTAAAAGACTGCTGATCGGGCTATTGACTTATAGTGTGGTGTGTGTTCTCCACAGCAGGCGTAAGAGCATAGATTTTGATTATTGCAGTTGACAATTGTCGCCGCCATTGTCACAGACCTCAGCCCTAAAATGTTGATTCCAGGAGGTGTGTTCATTAGTGTTCACGAAATAAATGTGTTCTAATATGACTATCAGAGGAGCCCCCTCTAGGAACGTGTTACTTCGAGAGCACACGCAATGCTGCTGTCGTATACATGTTCTTGGCGATGTTCGAAAGCGGTCAGTGATTATGCAAGGCCGCTCTATTGGCCTACTTACCCATCACCAAAACTTGCAGTGATACTAGCCCTTACTGTATACAAGAGAGTTCACGACTACCGAGGGTTTCAAAGCGGAATAGTAGTAACCCTGTACCATGACGGCATGGTTTACATGCTGTGCATCCTCAGTGGGTGGAAATATTTGGCTCTCAAGATGTTATTGTCTAACATGTTTCGGGAAGCTATCACGCTTGCCAATGTTATCGTCGGAGCTGCGCTTCCGGTACGTGTATCGATCGGTCTGTCAAATCCTGCGACTCACTCACTTTCTGTAACTTGGTTGTAGAGCGCCTATAGTAATTTGTTTGACACGTACGTCACAGACTGCATTCTGGTTGTTCGCTAGTTGATCTCGAACCCACTGCGTTAGGCTACAGCTGGTCACTCATAGCGTCTTGGCATCACGAATTCTATTCCGCCTTCGACATAGCAATGAGCGTGAATATTTTGATACGTCGTCCATGACTCTGTTAGAAAATGTGAACTATCTACGACCCCCCTCCATGTCGATTAGTGGAACCACCAGAAGTGCAGTTTAAATGGATATATGCATATGTAGAACCATTGTATCTGTTAAATCAGAAGCTTCTGCTCCTATGTGATATAATATACAACTCAAATTATGATATTATAGAACCATGATACAGCGAGACCTAAAGGCATGAACGAATCGGTGATTCATTCCCGACTGGTTCCTCCGAGCGTAGTTGCGATGTCAAGGCTTCTCATGCGACGACAGGATAATTTTGCATCATGCGCCTCAGATTTACTTCCGGAAACCTCGTCTTAAAGTCAATAGCACAAGGCCTGTCATTCGGCATCGCCCCCGTCATGAAACCCAAGTCATCAAGCGGCTTTGTAGGATCCAGAGTGAGCTGGAAAGCCCAAAGAATAAGGAGCGAGTTTATGAACACCGATCTGCAATAACCGAATAAGCTCGGAAGTTTATATGCGGTATAATATTCGTACCTGTTCGCAACGTGTTGAGCAGGGCATATGCTGGAAGGAAGGAATGTCAGGGAAAGGATATCTTGAAAGACAATGCTTACCGTCGACCAAACCCATAGACGAAGAACTTGAGATCTTCTCTCATGCGGCCTTGGTCGTTAATCCAGCGCTGAGGCTTGAACATGTCAGGGTCGGGGTAGACTTCTGGATCTCGAGAGATGGCCCTGACGCAAAGACCATTAGATATTTCGTGTCTTGATGGACAAGTGCTTACCAATGGTTGCCAAATACCGTAGTACCGGCAGGAATGCAATAGTTTTCCTGCCAGTGGATGTCAGGTCGTCCTTCGGACGAAAAAATGAACGGCACTTACCCAAATCACGTCTTCAGTCGTTCGGTGAGGAAATCCTGCGGGGTGAACCGTGTAAACTTTAGGTACATGACTGACGATCAAGATACCCACCATTAGCAGCCAACGGTCTCCATCTCAAGGCCTCGGAAATGAAGGCTTGAAGACGAGGAAGGGACTCTTGGTCGGTAAAGGTCGGTGCTGTACAAATCCTTAGATTGGTAAAAATGCAAGAGAAATAGAGCTACCTCGGTGCCTCCCGATGACCATATCAAGCTCGGCCTGGACTTTAGCTTGTTCCTCGGGAAAACATGCGGCTGCCATTAGTACCGTGCATATTGCCACAGCAGTCTGACACTTGATATGAGTTACATATCTTCAGACACAAAGGAATACACCTCACTGTATCAGATCCGGCTCCAAACAAGGCACCACCAAGAAACGCCATCTCAGTCTCTGTCAAATGATGGAGGCGCTCGTTTTCTAGCATATATTTCGCAAACGAAGGACCAACGTCCACATTGCTCTGCTGTGGAATGATTCAAACATAGTCTGGATGTTGGTAAGACTATGCGTACTAGCTGCTGTTTTACGCGGTTGAGTTGATTTGTGTAGAGTTTCCTGGTGCTCTCAAACTGTCGTTTCAAGTCTAGACCATACCAAGGAAGGTATTTGAGCCATGGAATCGAGTCCACGAGGTAAGCACCAGGGCGCAGAGCTGTGCGAAAGCTTTCGAAGAGGCGGTGAACCTCTCTGACTTCGGGGTCACTTGCAGACGTGGGCGTAGTTTTCCCGTATGTTATTTTCATAATACTCGCCGCAGCATAACTTCAAAATTTTTGTAAGTGATGTGCTATCATAACGCGAACCCAGCAAAGCGCTTACGTTGTCGCGTGGTTCTGGAAGTTGTATGGATCATCAAGAATGTCTAGCACTGTGTTTCTCGCGTGTGACATCTGCAGAGGCTGATAAGCCTCAGCCACTTTAGGCTGGAGGTGCGAATGAAGTGCTCTGCATCACGTTGCAGAAGTGAGACAAGGTCATCTTTGCATTGTATCGCTGATAACGAACCTACGCATCCGACGAAACCTGTCCCCAGCGTGCATAAAACCGATAGCCTGTCCGCCGCTAAGAATTTCTCCAGCAGCAATCATTCGAGGACGATCCGCTAGCGATCCGCCCTGCTTCTCCATAATATCCACTACGGCCTGCAACAGAATGTTTGAACCTAGACATTACTTATGACAACCCGGTGTGAAAGACTAACTTTGTGACGGCCGATGATAATGATCTTCTCGGTTCCTGAACGAATGGTGATGAGAGGACCGTACTCGTCAATCCACCCCGCTATAGTGAAAAATGAGCTGATCGGCAAAGGAACGCAATTAACATTAAAATCGCGGCGACTATGATGTCTAAATTTACTTGCGAAGAGGTAGGAAGTGCCCCAGAAGGCGCCAAGTGGGAGGGGAAGGTGGGAGAGGAAGGCCGTGCTCTGATTTAGGAAAGTAAATCCAACTCGCTCCGACTAGTAGAAGACCCGCGGCACCGAGAACGAGCTGCGCGTTATCAGAAATGGGCAGGTCAAGCATTTGTACCATGGCAAATCGGGAGGAGCGCAAAGTTGAATGTTATTGAAAGTGCATTCAAGCCATGGCTTTTATGTACAATAATCGTAGTGTCCCTGAAAATGGCACCTGGAGCCCTGGGACCTGAAGCCAGGAGAGGTTTGTCTTTAGCCATAGTAGATGGTCAGCCCTTACGCGTTACATTCATTGGCAGTTCGAAGTACGCCGTGCTAACGGGCAGGTTGGAGTCGGCTAAATTCATTTGGTAAGTGTAATGAGGTTCTCAAGTGTCCACGACAACATTGATATTCCACGACCTGTCCCGACAGGTCCCGAATTCCCTACTCGCCAGCAGCTACCCAGCCTATTAAATTGTCAATTATCGATCATGATCCATTAGGCAGGCAAGTCCCTCATATTCGTCACGAGGGTCGACTTCCGACGGGCTGCCGCTGTGTTGGTGCTGTGCGTGACACGGTTTGCAATCAAAGGTTCTTGTGTCAGTATTGTCAAAGACTCCCAATACCACCAAGAGTTCTTGAACTCACCGAAGGCCTGTTCGAACCTTTGGCATTTCTTTTTCAACAGTGACATTTTACCACCTTTTTCCGCCAGTGGAATTAAATTCGGAAGGTAGTGCTCTGTAACGCTCTAGGCTAGGTGTGTAATGCTCTAGCCAAGTCTGTATCTGCGTTCTTGCAAGAGGCAAAATGTTCAAGCTTGAGAAACGATGTTACGTTAACGGTTGAGTATTATGTAAATATTAAACTACCGCGAACCTTCGCTGGATTCCATGTTTGGAATAATGGATAATCCATTTCTTGCAGGGCTCCCCATGACTCGGACTGCTAGCAAATCTTTCGAGCTTTGTCCTTCTCATCCCTCACCCACTATGGTGACTCTCCGTCGATTAGGGAGTCTTTTATGTCGGCTGAAAGACTTGAAGGTCTGGTTTGTTATTCATCTTCAATTCCTTTTCGTCACGTTCAACTTCTTATGTTCCAGCTTTTATGTGAAAATGCTTGAAGGAGTCCACCCCTGATGCCCACCCCTGATGGAACCAGCGGGGCCGCTGCTACCGTCTGCGTCCGCTCTTTAGCCTCGGACCTTGATGACACCGACGACCGCAGAATTTGACTACCAAGGATCTTGGTGCGGACGACTCATAGTTAGCTTAGCTCGGTTTACAGCAGACCCTTGACTGACACGGGCTTTCTGCCGATCATTTAATAGCTTCTTGGTTCTCATACTTGAATACTTTCATTGTAGTGGCTCTGGTCACGAAGTTGTTGACGCTATGGCTCCCAGGCCCTATTACGGGTGTGGGTGTTATTGTTTTCCTTGGTTTCTTGGCAAGAGGATCGCGACCGTCCCGCATCCAACCACTCAATTCAGTCAAGTTCGCGACCATCTCTGGCAAATCTATCCGACCTCCTCGCGTGTTGTTTCTTGGTCCGTCCACACCCTAGATTCAGAACCCGCTAATTTTGCAGGAGGCTCCGTATGAGAGCGACCCGTAACTGGGGAGCACTACCTCCATCTGTTCGCTGCCACATGTGAAATGGGACAACTGATTATGCGCTCCACCATTAAACATTAAGGCGTCATGCGCTTCTAGATGGCTAGCCAAGATCTACGCTGACTTGCGGTGCTTCTCGAAGCATACGAACAGCTACACGCGGGAATTACGAGTCTATGTCTGCTCCACTGCTGCTTAATCTCAAGAAGATAGTTTGAGATCGACCTGGTGAGCTCGGCACGCATTTGTCCGGGGCCATACAGTGCAAATGACTCAAGGGTCTGTATTGTTCTTCTCTCCCAGTTTTACCACGCAGTTCTATTGGTATTCTGTTCTAAACAATTTCTAAGGGATACTATTATCTCATTCGGCTCAATTTTAGTAGGTGATGTTCACATAGATCTGGCTCGCGGTGCAGAGAACCTAAAATTCTTTCATCAGCAATGGCTTCGATAAACTAAATTTTATTCACCTCGCCAGGGTAAACGTTAGTGCAAATGGTGTTCACGTTCGGGTTGTTCGCGAGCAACGTATTGATCGGGATACCAGCTGCAGTGGCAACGCTGTAGCACGTGTCGCCGGTCTGCATAACGTGGGTGACGTTGCAATCTTGGCCGGTGATGCCAAGGCACACAACCTATGACCATGAGTTCAAGTGTCTTTCAAATGTAAAATGACTTACTTCTCCAACATACAGATTATCGCAGGCGGGGTCAATGGTGGCGTTGTTGACCGCCGCCAGCTGATATCTGTGGCGTACGTTCGATGAACAAGTGAATGGAAGGAGGCATAATGATTATTACGTACGTGGACACGTTGTATGTGGCGGAGATTATGTCACATGTATCTCCAGATTGAACTGTTGCATTGCGGTCGCAACCAGCGGGGAGTGCTACACAGTCATAAACATCAGCGCAGTCGAGCATCGCAGAAAAATATTACTGACTCTGGCCAGTAACAACTGAGGCAATGGCAGCAAGCGCAACGAGTCCGGCAGTAAAGAATGAAGCGTACATGCTGGTCAGGTAGTTCAGGTAAGGAGGATCAGAAACAGGTGAATGTGTTTGATGCCTTTGGATCAATTTTTCTAGCTGCCTTTATACGATTGAAAGAGTGCCGGAAGTGCAAAGCGCCGGTCTTCTAACGGCCAGCGTTCGCCGTCTGTTGAGTCGCTGTGACTCGACATCCTTGGACTGTGAGTAAGTGGACGTGATGGCGAGCGCGGTGTTCATGGGCGGATGAGTCTGACCGGCATCATAACAAGAGAACGTAGTCATCTTGCGAGCGGGTGCCTAGAACGAGAGAGAGAGAGATTTGACTCGTAATCGAGCAGCGTGGGATGGGTCGCTGAAGTTGAGTGGTAAAATTAGTTTTGTAGCGTAGTTCTGATTCATTTGTTTCAGAGTACAGTATTGTCAAGTGCTCGAGCATTCACTTCCGTTCCGTGACAGGTCCAGGGGTCTGCGTCAGATGATTAGACTTGAGTGAACGCTGACATGGATATTCGGAGGATACCACGTACTATTGTCGCGCGAGTCACAACCCACGTGATGACATCAATTGTGTCATGGAAGCGTAACGGTGCCACCGTGCTACTCCTCCAGCGGCTCATTGTATCATGTGCTATCTTAAGCGACGTTGTTGGTACCTTACATAAATATCATGATGTTGTACCTTTTTAAATATTATTAATGTCCGCTAGGCCGTCCACATGCTCCCATGGTAGTTGCTCACACAGGAATGTCCTTGACAGTCGAACCGCCGATCAGGAGATGTTACCCAAAAATACTTTTGGTGCCTCACGGTACGCGTGACGTATGTAAGGTATGTTGTGTCACATAGCACGTGTATATAGTCACATCGCGTTCGTCACAAAGGAAGCGCGCGTTTGTTTGAGCCACTAATCATGGCAAAGCATATTAATATCGTTAGTCTCCGCGCTCGATAAAGGTCCAGAGACCTTTTGTACAATATGGCCCCGAAGTACCCTAAGATCTCAGGTATGTTCTCTCTCTTATCGGGTCAGGCTCCCAAATGACATGATTGCAGGTTTTGAACTTATTCAACAAATCGGCGGAGGCGGCTTCTCGAGTGTGTTCAGAGCCGTTCATCTAGAGAGAGATCAGGTGGCAGCATGCAAAGTTATCTTCATCAAGGAGCAGACCACCGAGAAAGAACGCAAGGCTGTCGACAAGGAGATGAAAATTCATGCGCTCCTCAAGCACAAGCATGTCCTGGAGTTTCTACATGCTGCCGTGGTAGAGCGCAAATACAAGGAGCACTATGTCCCTGGAGTATATATGATACTAGAGCTTGCTGGAGGAGGAGACCTCTTCGATAAGATCGGTGCGCTTTGTTGACTGATTGTGTATCCAATCATAAACCCATAACCCATCAGCGCCGGAAGTCGGGATCGGAGAGGATGTGGCACACTACTATTTCGGCCAGCTCCTGGCAGGGATGGTGAGATACCAATGCTGGTCATATCCAAGGAAGCCGAAACATTTCCGAATCACAGGACTTTATTCATCGTGAAGGAGTTGTCCATCGTGACCTGAAACCGGAAAATATCCTGCTTGATGCAGCTGGTACCCTCAAGATATCAGACTTCGGTCTCGCAGTGGTCTACAAACTCAAGGAAACCGGCAAGACAAGACAATTGAACGAATTGTGTGGCAGCCACCCGTACATAGCCCCAGAAGTGTGTCATAACCACACGTCCTCGGATTGCACTCACGATAGGATTCCAGGTTCACTACGGAACACCGTTTGAAGCAGAGCCCGTTGATGTCTGGGGGATTGGTGTCATTCTTTTTACACTTCTCGCGGGAAGTCCGTCAAATCTCCAATCATTTCCATAAATTCTTCAAATTAATGTCTCTCCCAGATACTCCTTGGGATCGATCCACAGCGCAATCGCCAGAGTTCTGTCGGTATATCTCTGGGGAGATATTCAACGAGGCTCCTTGGAATCGTCTAGGAGAAAAAGCCCTCTGTGAGCGGGATTGTGCCCTTTCCTGTCAATATGCGCTGATATAGCATTCAGCACTCATCTGTGGCCTCCTAACCATCGAGCCGGAGAAGCGTATGACGCTCGCCGAAGTATTCGCTGACCCATGGTGCACAAGACCAAGTCAACTTGCGAAGCAAGGCGCTGTCGCGCTTGCAGACCACTTGACTGAGTCTTTGAGGGCGAACGGGGACCTGAAATACGCAATGCCGGATATCGCGAGCTCTGCGTACGCTCTCTGGATTATCGTCATGAGCCTAATATTCACTTTCATCTGTAGTGGAACTGGAAAAGATAAAGACGAAGATAAAGATGGAGACGAGATCATGCTTTCCGCAACTCATCAATCCCAGTTCACCCAATCCCTTCTGTTATTCGTATGTCTCCCAAGGACACGCATATTGTTTTCATATTGAATTCATTTTCCTTCAGTCACAAACACAATCAGGTCGCAGATATACACCTAACCTCACACGCTTCTATACTTCTCTTGGGCCAGGGATTATGATGGAACTCATAAAGGAATCTTTGACTGCCCTTGGTGTCAAACACAAAGACGGACCTACTGGTGAGGACGAGCGAGGGGAGATCCTTCGGTTGCGCGTAGGGGGGTATGATAAACGGAGAATCACATACAAAGGCTGGGTCGAGCTCGAAAACTTCCGCTACGCAGAAACTGATGGAAGCTTCTGCTTGATGACTCGGGACGTCGTGGGTTTCCTTCATTCTCCGTTTTTGAACGCGAGTTCACGCAACCACAGGGAAATCCTATTTCGTGGCGCCAGTTGTGGAAATCACTAATTCAGTCGCCAGCCGTGGATCCTCATGTGCTCCGCAAATGACCACAGTTTGTGTTTCATGGTCAAGGAATACCGCATTTGCGCTATGGCGCTCAACACTATGATTTTATGTTAGCCTTTATCTATTCACATGGACTCATCTCTTTAAAATGTTTGCGAGATTCTCTCTTGCTGCCATGCACATGATCTAATTGAATGCTTCTATATGCCAAACAACTATTACACCAAGACGATCTGTTTCCTCGACAGTCCGTTGGTTGTCGAGAGACACCGAGGTAGTTCGCTTTCCTCGAATCCTACTACGGTTGTCGATTCAAACCTTTTTGTTTCTTTGTAACATCCCAATACGACAGAGCCCCTTTGAAATTCTGTTCTGGTAGGCCCTGTGTCTGTTTTGCTCAGGGTAAAACGTTGATATGAACGACCTTACGACGTGGGATCAAGATGATTCCTACGTTCGGCGTACAAACGAACTACAACAAATAGTAAGAAAGTTTCATCCTACTTGTACAGTAAATCGTGTCGAGGGACCTGGTACGATGGTTTGGGGGATGCTCAGACTTCTGATGCACCCTCAGGATAATTCTTCAGCATGCGCCTGATCTCCGAGTCCGAGATCTTCTTCGTAAACTCGATACCGCATGGCTGAGTCATCGGTAACACCCCGGCTACATACGCCATATCATTCACCGGCTTCGTAGGATCCAGACTAAGCTGGAACGCCCAAAAAATAAGGGCCGAGTTTATGAACAACGATCTATGTCACTCAAAATGAGCTCGGACGATACGAGGTCGAAGGATATCTTTACCTGCTCGCAATGTGTTGACCTGGGCATATGCTGGAAGGAAGGGCAGTCAGAAAGAAGTGCCTTCTGAAAGATGCTGCTTACCGCCGACCAAACCCATATAGGAAGGATGTGATATCGTCTCTCACCAAACCTTTGTCGTTAATCCAGCGCTGAGGGTAGAACGCGTGAGGATCAGGGAAGACATCTGGATCCCGATTGATAGCCCTGAGGAGATGACCGTTAGGACCTTCACAGTTCGGTAGCAGTTTGAAGGACGTTGCTTACCAGTGGCTGCCGACTACTGTAGTCCCAGCAGGAATGCAATAGTTTCCCTATCGGTAGACATTAGATTATGCTTCGCACGACAAATGGTTCAAAGAATACTTGCCCAAATTACATCTTTAGTTGCTCTGTGAGGAAATCCTACAATGCCAACAATGTAGACTTCAGGAACGAAACCAATAATGATACCCACCAGGACCCAACGGTCTCCATCTCATAGCCTCAGAGATGAAGGCCTCCAAGCGAGGAAGAGATTGTTGGTCAGCGAATGTCGGTGCTTGAGTGGAGCCATCATTAAATCGATCATAAAACTGCCAGAGGAAATCGAGTTACCTCGGTGCCTTCCGATGACGGCATCAATCTCAGCCTGGACTTTAGCTTGTTCCTCGGGGAAACATGCGGCTGCCATTAGTATCGTGCATATTCCCGCAGCAGTCTGATACCTGATTTCAGCCACATGTCATCGGAAACGACAAAACAAGACACCTCACCGTATCGGATCCAGCTGCAAAGAAACTACCAGAAAGAAATGCCATCTCGGACTCTGTCAAGCCATAGTCGTTTTCTAGCATATATCTCCCGAACGAGGGACCAATGTCCTCATTGGCATCCTGCGGAACAATTCAGACATTATGCAAAGATCGGCAAGGTAATGAATGCGTACCATTTGCTTTTTCACCCGGCTCATCTGACCAGTGAAGAGCTTGCGATTGTCCTCATGATCTTGTTTCAAATCTTGGCCATACCAAGGAAGGTATTTAAGCCACGGGATCGTGTCCACCAGGTAAGCGCCAGGGATCACAACTTTAAAAAGCGTCATTAGGAACTGGCGACCCCCTGCGACTTCGCTATCGTCCGCATTCTTTCCATATGTAATTTTCGTGATGGTCGTTGATGAATAACTTAAAAAACACGTAAGTAATGGACCACCACAACCCGAACTTAGGAAAGCCCTTACGCTGACGCATGCTTCTGGAAGTTGACTGGATCTTCAAGGATATCGAGCACCGTGTTCTTCGCATACGTCATCTGCAAGGGCTCATACGCTTCAGCTGCTTTAGGCTGGAGATGCGTATGAAGTGCTCTGCATCACAATGAAGCAAGATGGGGTTATTCAAGCCTTTCAAGTGCCGTGGGCTACGAACCTACGCATCCGACGGAATGTCTCCCCAACGTGTACAAAGGCGAGAACCTGTCCGTTACTGAATAGTTCTGAAGCGGAAACCGAGTGAGGGCGATCAGCTACCGATGCGCCCTGCTTCTCCATGATATCTACCGCAGCCTGCAACAACATGCTAAGCCTGGGTATGACAACTAAGTGTGGAAGGACTGACTTTGTAACGGCCGATGTAAACGATTTTTTCAGTTCCTGAACGAATGGTAATCAGAGGACCATACTCGTCAATCCATGCCCCCACAGTGAGTTGGGGGCTGATCAGCACAATTAGCACTACATCACAATGAGCAAAAGATGAAACTTCACTTGAGAAGAGGTAGGGAATGTCCCCTAAGTCTCCAATTGGGAGGAGAAGGTGGGAGAGGAAGGCTATTCGTTGATTTAGGAAGGAAAGTTCTAATCACTCCAACTACCCCGAGAGAAGCCGCAGCACCAAGGACGAGCTGCATAGTAGGCAGGTCAGGAAGCTGTAGCATGACTGGTGAGATGTGCGCGGGCCAGGATGTCCCAAAAGGTATAGTACAAAGTGCATTCAAGTTGCGAATGGGTTTTATAGTCATACAGCCACGTCGATGATAACTTGAATAGTCACCTTGCTGCTGGTGTGCGAATGGTTCGCTGATACTGCCAGCTGGAGGTCATTCACGACCAGCAAGAGAACGGAGAGTGCTTCCAGTCACTGACTGCCACCTTGACTCGCTTGAACCCCGGGGATTATAACTATTAGTAGCCAGTTTCCCAAGGAAATGCGAGGGAATGCAATGCAATCACTCGGATCATCGCAAGGTACATCGCTGGCATGCCTTGCTTATCAACTAGTACCTTCGTATCCTGCCAAGTTCACTTGTGAACAAGTTGTGAACAAGTTAGGGTCGCAAAACTGTGACAAAGAGTCGAAGCTTATGTCAGCGAAAATATGCAAATCTGGGAACTAGTACCCAATTTGAGGTCAGAGAGGTACCGCGTACCCACAAACATAGTTGTGTTTCATAGAACTGACGATATCAATTGAGGTAAGTATTGCCCATTCGTTACACAACAATCACGCCAAATACAGACTACGCAGCGTTGTATTAGTATCACTGCTGGGCCCCAGACACATAAAAGAAATTAGCCGCTACTAACTCGAGATCATAGCTCGCAGCAAATATAGTGGCATTCCAATTTCTCCTGCTGTTGAAATCGCTCCCGTTCTCGATTGCATCCGTGGGAATTGTGAAATTGACGCTCGGTTCTCGATATAGCAGCAGCACTTAAGGAGGTCATTAATATCGGGGTTTGAAGAGATTAAAGATCACGCTCTTACCGTATCTGTGAGAACCACTGCCCGCGGGAGGGTTGGGAGAAAGGTATGCAGTTGTATCTGGTTGCGTGAACTCTGCAGAGTCGTCAACACCTTTGGGGGGCCTTACGCCTGTAGCCTGGAGCCATGGTAAATAAGTCCATGTACAACAATCTAAATATTCTTCAATTGAGCATGAACGCACCAACCAATGCCTGTATTGCCCATAAGTCTGATTCTCCCTTGTGGGTGCATCAGGATCCGTCATCACAATGGTATAGATAGCTTCGTCTTTCATTGGCGTGAAGCTAACGGTGGGTGGAGTAAGACTGCTTGTGCTGTTAAGCGTGTTGCCGAGAAGCGCAGGCCCTGTTGGAAATATGACGAAGAGAAGTGCTTGGGGGTGGAACGATGGGTTGGCCGGAACGACATCCGGGATGACGCCGTTTTGTTGCATCGGTATTGTTACGAAGTCATAAGGGTACCACGACAAGGTTGGGCAAACTGTAAGCAGTACAAAGAACAAACGAAGGGAGTTTAGCATGCTTGCCTCAGGCTGTTGCTTGCTTGGAATCCAACCTGCGAACTTTTATAATTTGCCACATCAGGGGACAAGCGCTCAGCCTTCACGTCAACGTCAGGATCAAATGGATAACAATAGATGTATTTTCCGTGCCTCTTCATGCATTGATTGACTGAACCGGGGTGAACCCTGAGGATTGCCGTCAAGTAAGCTCGTTTAAGGCTGAAAGAATTGATGAGATACATGCACTTACATACTTTCACCACAGTAGGCTCAGGTTAGCAATTCAATAGTAATGGAAAGCAAGCATTGCATACGACTTTTACACACAAACCTTCCTTTGCCGTACCAGTAGGTCAGAGAGTAACTTTATCGGTTGAATTGTACTTACAACTCCGCCATCATGTGCCTGAGAATGCCTACGGAATCTAGGCTACCAATGGCATTCAGACGGTGATCATTTCACGTAGCACCCAGGGTGATATTGAATGTGGAGAACATCCGGACATCGGGGGAGAGGGGGAAGGGATCATGACAAGCCGAAGTCTACAGTAAAGTAATGCCGCCGAGTCTGCCTGGCAGATGATAAAATGTTAGAATGCGGGAGAGCATGAAAAAATATTGGATGGCTGTACAATATTGAATCAGTGTCCAATAAGCCTAGATGAACCCCGATCTGCAGCTCCGCATCCCGCCCCTAGTTCCACGGTTCCTGGGAAGCTAAGCCACATGAAATCGTGAAGAGTTGGGAGTCGAAGGAAGTTCTTACTACTTGATGAACCTAACTGTTCGATAAGTTAGCAACAGCATAGACTGTTTCAAACTTTAATGCACCGGATGACTCATTGGCAGCGTCACAGTCATGATTGTTGACCAGCATGTATTCGAGTTGCTCGAGGCTGCGTGCGATGAGCCTGAGAGGAGTGCTATTATCATGGGATCATCATTCAGCGCAACAGGATAGATGCAACACATTGAATTAGCTGTGTTTGCTAAACTCTGCAATTTCTGGGAGAAGTGGATGGATGACCTCCGAGTGTGGAGGCTTGCTTGGTCACATTGCAACTGACAGGGGTGACACGAGGCTTGTCCGAGTCTATGATTGTCTACATTCCACACATGCTGAATTCAGTTGGCTCGCGTCAATCAAACATTCATGTGTTGAACTGGCACGCACCACGTACTGCCGGAATCTGCATCCGTCGAAGTGACCCTGTCTGTGTTATAACTTGCTGTCGAGTCCATCGACCGCTCGGCATATAGACAAACTGGTCACGAGCCTTCCTTCCCCCTGCCACCAGTTCTGATTCCAGCAATGCTCAGAGTCTCACGACCCGCAACCCTGGCACACCAATATGCGCCCTCTCGCGCCCTCCCACACAACGTGTAGAGTCTAAACCTGGATGATACTTCACGTTTCCCGCGCGTATTACACCCAATAACAGTGTCCCATTTAATACGTTACCTCAAGACCGGTAAATGTGGGAGCCTCATGAGTCATGATCAGGCCCCGTTAGTCTCCCGTAGTCAGCCGCTCCTTCTTTTTCAAGAGGTGCCGTCGGTGCGACAACCGTGTTTGGATAGACAAAGCAAAGAAAATAATACATGTATGTCCGTGGGCTACATTCTGCATATCACATCATGATTACGATTGCTCTGCCTCTGTATGTTAGTCTCTCAGAATGCTCAGGTGATGTCGACAGACGGACCTAACCCAGTCAAGTGCGTCAGCGCCCTCACAGATGCACCGGGGAATCGAGGGACAATTCTACAGGGAAATTTCTCCGGATGTCTGAAATAATAAGTTATCAGCTAGCAGGCTGCTTTAGAAGACAGATAAGATTACAAACATGATCGTGCCGCTGGAGAACTTCGGAACAATTGGAATGTCCATGCCGTATTTGTCGAGAGCCTTGTGGGCCGAGAAACCGGCCAGGAAGCTCGCGATCGCGATCCAGAGTGACGCGTCCGCGAGATGCCGTCCCACGCTGATCAGCGGCGCTCAATGGGGAACGGAGAAGCACGAATAGGTGCTTACCAGCTCCGGCGACCCAAGCCAAAGCCTAAAAGCATTGTGTCGCTGGTGAGGGACCCGTCCTCATGGAGAAATCTTTCCGGCTTGAATTCATCAGGACTGGGGTATTTCTTCTCATCGTGCGTCATTGCCCTAAAGGTTTTGTCATTTGGAGGTATTCAGTGTATAGGCATTATGGACTTTCCATATGTTTGCATATACGAGAACACCTAATAAACTGGGTCGTCAACGGCCGTCGTTAATTCAGCATGATACAAACCTTTAGGGATGAAATAGCCTTTGTAGATGTCGCTGGTTGTTGTTGTGTGTGGGGTGGCTGAGAATATCGTCAGAGAACTTGTGAAAGAAATTGTACGGTGGACCGACATAATGGCGTCACAGGGTGCCACCTGAGCGTTTCACGCAAAATAGCTTCCAAGTAAGGCATCGCTGGTCTATCATCAAAATCTGGGAGTCTATCTTTGCCAACAACTTGATTGATCTCCGCCTGCGCTTTAGCTTGTGCCTCTGGGTTGAGTACCATAGCAAGAAGGAATACACATAGAGTGGAAGTGCTCTGAGCCGAAGGCAAACTGATTAGTATGAACACTGGCGAAACCAAGGTCATATTTACCGTTTCAGAGGCCGCTGAAGATGAAAAAAATGAAAAATGAGCTGCAAGATACAGTCTGCCAGATTATATACCTGCAAATGCGATGGAAGCAGCCTCTTTTATGGCAGTTGTCATTCCATCGTCCTCTTCAGAAAGCCTCATCCTGTTCAAAGCATCGGCCACTAAGCACGGCGCCGTGCCGCGCGTAGACTGTGCGCAGTTCGTCAGTTTTTGTGCCTCTATTAATCGGGTGACTCACCATGCTCTCTTTGACATATTGAAAGGGTAACTCCTGTATATCATGGCCTGCCTGGATGCACTTCACTGATGCTCGCTTGAATGTAGCACCAGGGAACCAACTAGGTAGCTGCAAAACTAGAAGGATCACTAAGACTTAACTCCAGGCCAACACTACATTTTCGAACATACGGAAAGGGAAGGTTTCCATTACTACCCAAGGACCTGGCGCCGTATTGTCGACCATTAAATCCCCATACCTTGTCATGGCGTCTACAATGGGGTCTTCTTGGGCTTTCGGTTCGTAATCATATACAATTGGGAGCATGAATGACATTATAAACCTGATAAAAATCAGCATCAACACGAGACCGGAAGGAACTGTCAACTGACATCTGAAAATGGCTCAAATAATTTTCAGGGTCCTGTAGAAGACTGAACAACATTTTGTGGGCGGAACGGCGTTGCGCGGCGTGGTAACTGTGTATCTCAGCTTGACGAAGTGTTTGGTGCAGAATCCGCCGGTGGAGGCGCCACCTGCTGAAAGTAAGACGCTCAACAACATGTTATAGAAATGATCCACTACCTGTCTCCGTATGGCATGAATACTACGTTGAAGTCCACAGCGAAGCTGACAATACCGTCGTGATCGATGAGTGACACTTCAAGGTGTAACTTACGGTTCGTGAAGAATCGACTGGGGTTTATCCGAATATATGTGGGAACGCCCTTCAAAAAGGTCTTTCGTGACCTCTACAGAGTTCATAACAACGACAGGCTTGCTGAGTAGACGGGCATAGATGATCTCGCCTAGAGAAAACATGAGTCAGTTATGAAGAGACCCGTCGTTATGTGCCCACCATATGTAGATTTCCAGGAATTAAAGGTCACCCAAGGCTGAGCGGCATCAATACTGAGAAAATTCCCCAAAACTGGGAGGGGGGTAGGACCAGGCGGCAGCGGGGAGCCTGAATGACTGTCCCAATATCTTCGAACATGGATTAAAACAGCCAGTGCGAAGGCTGATGTGGCCAAGTAGAGTCCAAGTCCATCGTCGAACATCGTTCTAACAAAGGGAGCTTCGAGGAGGAGGGTACTTGAAGTGTACTATTATATAGCATCAGACGAAGCGCAGCCAAGCAGACATTAATATCGCGGATCCTGTCCGTAAATGCGTTGAACGCTGAGCAGCGAACAGGGTAATTGCATACCAAGAATGGCTCCTCAGCATTTCCGTCGGAGATGTGATGCCGCGATACTGCCTAGAACGTCGTCGCATATTGCAGCTCGCAATACTGCTACGATGATCCAAGTGGGATAGGCGGTGTCTAAGGCACACGATCTTGATGGAGCGATCGATGCTAATGATTCACTAGCACTGGTTCTGCGCGAGAACGATCTATCAGTTGGGCGGGAGATGATCTTAAGAGTTGAAATATGAAAGCTCGCCTTTACGAATGCAACCATACACGCAAGGTATCACAGGGTATCGCAGTCTTTTCTTTCCCCGACTCTATCCACCTTCATGTACGTATACCGTCCTCGTCACGTCGTGGTGGGTAATTTCTCGACGTTGACATGATACTTATTGTACACTTTAAGACTTACATTGGCCTTTGGTTTTGCCAGACTCAGACGAAATATGCCTATACCGGGGAGCATGTCGACTGGCTGAGAAATGGGGCCGAACCGATGTGCTCAACACGCTAGTAAATTAGTGGAATGACATGGACATATGCATATGATAGACAACTAGAAGTTGCCTGGTTTTTCAAGTTCCAAGTCCGGACAAGAGTCGAAGATTGGCTGAGCGCCATTACGATGGAAAACCAATCAAAACGAGTGGATACGATGTGACAACAACGTGAACACTGGGGGAAAAAGAGATTGCACAAAGTGAGAAGGTGGCGCGAACCTCAAGATTGGCACCAAACGTTTGTGACATTCTAATAAGCTGGTTATAATAACGTGTTCTGGAGGACAATCTCATTGTTGAAGGTCCGTTTGACCCACAGCGGGTGCAGGTGCATGCACATATCCTGCATTCAAAATGGCTTATAGCTTTCATACAATGGGATTCGAATAGCTTTTGGTGGTATGGATAGGACACGGTAAGAATCAAGAAGCGGAACAGAGGTTGATTCAAAAGCTTCCGAGTTCTCAGATCACCTGACTTCGAGTTATGCCGACATCCTCGTGCGATCACTCATCGATCATCAGCCAGTGGCCAGTTCCGACTGCATGGAAGGGAACGACTAGTACTCTTAGATAGATCCTGCCGCTACCAAATTTAACGCATCCAATTGAAGTAGCATTGAAGCTTGTTAGATCGACAGCAAATTTTCTTAATCATTATAACTTGAACGATCTGGCATCCCTTCAACCACTCGGGGATGCACTGCAGTCTCAACCGCGCTTGGGACCTCCGATTATTCCCCTACAACGACGAAATAATTGACCCCAACTAGCTTCAGCCCATACTTTTCAGCAAACCCCGCTGCATTCCAGTTCTTTCTATTCGCGGGTTCATTCTTGCGTTCCTGGGCATTTTCAGGGATTGAGAAGTCCACATTAGGCTCCTGATATAACAATAGTACTGTTGCAGTAATTATTAACATATAAAGCATTTATGATAGGTTTGAATCACCGTAACGATGCTTTCCAGTTCCCGGAGGAGGCGTGGGAGGATAATACGGCGTCACAGCGGGTTTGGTGAGTTGTGCAGCAAGATTGCCCGTCTCAATGACTGACGTCGGAGGTGCTTTTACGCCAGTAACCTACGCATGGATTTAATTTAAAAAAATTGGAGTCCATGAAGACACTGACCACCCAGTGCCGCCACTCTCTGAATTTCGGGTTTACCCTGGATGGAGCGTCTGGGTCTGTCATGACGAGCGTATAGGTGGGTTCATCAGCGACATCCGGCACCTGCATTGGGGTGAACGCAACAGTTGGTTCGTCATCGGTGTCTGTTTTTGTGAGCGTATTCCCAAGAAGGGCCTCTTGGCCAGTAGGGAAGGTCACGACGAGCAAAGCCTTGGGATGGAAAGGAGGGTCAACAGGAATAACGTCTGGAATGATGCCGTTGCCCTTGATATCTTCTCTGACAGCATTGAGTGGATCGAGAAGCATTGTGGGCTCAAGTCGGTTTCGACAACGACGAGAAGGAGATAGGTGGTGGCAAGGTGGAAATTGAAGTCGTCATCATATTGGAGAAAGGGGTGGTTATGTAATATTTCCAATGTGCAATTCTGACAAACCTGTAAGGTAGCAGAGGGCTTTGCTACAGAACATGTACATCATAGAACTACGTACATGGCCATATCATTCGCACGTCGAATTCAAGAACTGTAACAGGTTCTGCCTATTCGCGTCCATCTCGAGATCTCTAGCATCCTTGTGAACTTTCAACTTAATCTGAGGCAATTTTATCAGAGTCTGAGGCCCGTCAGAACAGAGAAGACAGACCTTCTTGCCTGTTAAGACGCTGCGCCTCTCATCCCTGTCCCTGTCATTCGCCTTATCCCGGTCCCTATGCTTCTTGTGCTTCTTGTCTCGGTCTTTCTCTCTGTGCTTCGACTTGGACTTGCGAATATCGCGACTACCTGAACGAGAGCGAGAGCGGCGGCTTGGTGACCTTTCACGTAACTTGTGATGACTACTGCCATCACGTTCCTCAGATGATGTCGATACAGCAGAATTTGTCGAAGGCGAAGGAGATCGACGTCGATGTTCAGCGGTCTATGGTCCATTTAAGTACACATCTTCAAAGGTCAAAGGCAACTCAGTGAAAAATTAGGAGATAACGTACGACGCTACGACTTCTGATTCGCCCACGCCTCTCGGAAGGCTCGTGGTGTTTGTCTCGATCCTACAGTAGGGTTGAAGGCACTATCGGAATAAGACCACAAATGTCTCACGTTACGATTATCCTTTCCTCTGTCTCTCGTGTCGTCGTGATACTTGTGACTGCGTGAGCGGTGTGGACTCCGGGACCTTGAACGTTTAGTGTGTCGAGACTTTCTGCCCTCTCCGTCGTCACGGTAGCTGCGCCTCTCAGGCGACTTCGAACGGCTCCATCCTCTGTCTCCCCCTGTTCGGCGAATGCATATCATGGCATGTTATAAACATGAGCATAAGTGAATGTGTTGTCGCCCCATTACCAGCACAGCCGACGTAGTGCGTGGTAATCAGCATTGACACAGAAGGTCAGTCAAGGATCTCTGAGGATTGACGGAGACCATTTACCACTTCGTCTGTGATAATCCCTTGAGCGGTGCTCTCTCCGTTCTCCGTGTCTTCTCTCGCTCATGAGAGTTGTTGCGGAAGGGCGACAGCGGAATCAATTTGGGTTGTTTGGCATTATTAAGCTCCGGACCAAACAACAGAAAATGTGAAAATATGACCGTCAGATCGGACATGCTAGGCTAGGTAAAACGTTAACGAATGGGTGGGCGATGTATACAGATGGGTCGTCATACGAGACGCTCCAAAGGTACAATGATTAGTATATGGCATTCCAAGATGGGCCGTTTCCATGCAAACCATGTCCGCTCGATCTTCGAAGACATTAACACAGTGCAACGCAAACTCGTAGGCTACGTGTTTTGGAATCACCGGCCAAGACTGCAAAATCCAAGCAGTCGGGCTCAATCAATCCACATTAGAATCCTTCGATGAAAACAAATCCAAAAGCAAGCTTGTCAATCTCATCTCCCTGCTCGTCCAAGCTCTTCGCGATCCTGATCTACCTGTGACCAATATTCACAAGTCGCTCAGAATCGGGAAACGTGGAGGACCATTGCTTGTGCAGGTGATTTTTTGATGAGCAGCGCTGTCATCTACCCCATCATCTACCCCGGGCAAGGTTTGATAATGATAGGTTTCAGGCCGTCAGGTTGTTGGCACGATGTGGACATCCTCTATTCGAAGGCACCGCAATAGGAGACATATCTTTCGGAGATTTTTTTTTAGCACTAGACGACCAACGGGATGTGATATGACTGCGTAGGACTCACTGTCTGGACGTAATCGAGTCTCGAGAGATCAACACGGAGTACGTACCAGTGATACACACACAAGCTAGTTCGAACGCATAATTACCTTAAGTTGGTTAATCTGCGCATTACCACATCTCAACTGGGCTGATGTTATAAAACTACACAGTAGAACTGATACCGATGTTGATTAGCGTGTACGAGAGCTGGTATCAGCGGCCCCAAGTAAATTTACGGCAACAGTATTGCTCTCTTGAATCCGTTTTAGGCGCTCATAAAGCACTTGTACCTCGCGGGCCGTTGTATCAATAAGCTGCTGCTCTGTGGGAGGTATCGATGATGCGCTCTGAGACTCGGGGGAGGGTGGTAGGGGGTATGCGCCAACACCAGTTTGTCGAAGGAATTCAGCGAGCGAGCGAAGTGCCTGCATAAGTGCGGCCAGCTCAGCTGGAAATAGGAAGCGTAAAGTCACAATGACAATATAACATGAAGCGTACTTGCCTGTGGTGTGTGCTGGACTATTTCCTGCTTGGTATGCGTTTTGTCTAACAATGATTGAACGTCGTAGAAGCACGAGGGAACTATGGAGTCTTACATGCCGTGCAAGCAGTTACGTGCTAGTGATTGAATTCTTGCGACATGTTCAAGCGCAATTTGCACGTTCTGCTTTAGCATTTCCGGTGAATTTGGATCGGTGTGGATGGGATCGTGCAGCGACGATTGCGACATGAAGACGGCCGCATTTGAAAAGCTAGATGGCGGGATAGATGATATGGACAGAGTGGAAGATTGATTGGAATTATTCATCTTGCTACCTGATGTTAATGGTGGTATGTTAACAACTTAGCATTTCACCTGATGGTTGTTTGGATCTGTTATGATGTGTACATGTTATTGGTCTTACACGTGCACCCTCCTCGAAACTATATTTTGTGAAAAGATCTTTCAAGCAGTATGAATGTGTGCTAGCATTTTGTCTCTTCGCCTCCTCAATTTTCAACGCATCTAAATCTCCATCATGTGTCCGCCGACCATCCATCTTCCACCGATCGCTAAGATCGCAAGTTTCTCCGTCACCCAGCTTCTCGACGCCTTGACTTATTTACAGTCACTTTACCATCCAGAAGTCCGTGGTTCACGTCGCAAACGTGTGCAGGTGCCTGAATTCAATGGAGAGAAAAATTCACACCTTCGTCATGAAGATGATAACGACGCCCAAGTCATCCGATCCGACGCATTCGAGCGCTCATATTCCATTCGGTGGCTTACCGCTCTTATCGCCCAGCTCGAAGTCTGGCATGACTTATCATATTCTGTGGAAGTCTCATTGGATGGTCTAGGGAAACCAGAGCCCACCTTCGCTCACACGGAGATGCTCGTCGAACAGGCCGCGTCGCTACTCGCGATTTGTGCCGGGGTCGCTGCTGCTGGAATGATCACTCGTAGCTTTATATTTGGCTGAGTGATGAGTGCCCTGTTACCCTTCCGAAATACTTCGGCTCCAAAATCACGGCACAAACAAGGTACGTGCAAACATCAAATTATATAACACACCAAGACTCCAGTCACCAGTATTCAACACGTAAGGTAAATTTTTTTAGGAAGCCTACCGCGGACTATATAAGCTTCAATTCTGTGAACAGGTGAGAATGTGCGCCCGTAATGCACTGGCTGCAAACATTCTTTGACAGCCCCCACACAACTCCAATAGTCCAATATGCTCATACTTCGTGATACCTTTGCCATCAGCAAGCGAATGCAATACTTCCTGCTCCGTCAAAGACAGACTTGCAAGCTCATCGGCTATGTGTGGTGCATCAACAGGAGCACTAGTGAGAGGGGCAGACCGTCTGTGGACAAAGTGGGTAATGCGTTGTTGACGCATATTCGCAGCTATAATAGCATTAGCACTATTATCAAAATGTTTGAAGTTTTGTTAAAACAGAATGCTTTGACATACCTGAGACTCGACGACGATAAGAGGAAATATTACGGACAGCGCCGCCTTGCTGTGACAGCGCTAATGCTGAGCTGGGGGTGCCGCAATAACCCTCAAAGTAGGGGAAAAGCTCAGCGTGTCCGCTGGGTGTTGCTGCAAGTCGGTCGCGATGCACTCGCAGTACCAAATCACGCAAATTCATGAGCTGCGGATGGTCAAGATACACTAAGAATGATTTATTAGAAAGGTAAGCACACAGCAGATATCAGAGCAGACCACAGGCAACAACGAACCTCGAGTAAGGACATCTGTATACACAGATTCGTGCAAGGCAGTCTCTCGTGCCTCGCTAAGATTCACTGAGAAAGACGTTAGGGTTTGCTAAATACACAAGCAGGGTAGTACATACATGAGAACCCACACTCGCTAGGAGACTGATGGCAATAAGCCATTGCATGACCATGACGGTTGGTTTCGAAACGGACTGGGGTGCGGTGCTCTGACAGAAGTCCGCAAAAGCACTCCCACACTACACTGCGACGTCGTGTCCAGTCCTTGAGGTTGTGAGAGACGATGCGCTCCCCAGTAGCCCTGTTGACTGGGCTAATACGAGTCAGTGAAAAAGGAAACAAAAGAGTGGTGCTGCACGCACTACGCTATCACAACCGTTTCGCTCAGCTCGCGGGAGAAAATGGTGAGCTCCGTGCTGGCGCGTTGGAGGGCTCGAGGGAGGTAAAATATCTCGGGGTATGTGGGCATGATGTTGGTTGGGGGAAATTGTGAGTGAGTGAAGTGAGTGAATCGCCCACAGCTTTTATCTAGCTCACCTGGATTGTTCTCGGTTCAACATGGAGACCCAAGACTCCCAAGGCGCCATTAACAGTGGCTTTCCTCTGCATACATGTGCTTGGCGTCAAATGAGCTGCCTTGTTGGGGGCTTGGGTTGTGATTCAGTGAAATACAACACTTACCGAGCACGATGCATGCAGGACTGAGGGAGACTCAGGGTGCTCAAATGTTTGGGAGCAGAGGGTGAGTGACAGTTGCGCATGGTGGTTATTGAAAAGCAGAGGGTCAACTTTGTGAAATGTGTGATAGTCAAAATGTAGGTTACTTTGGAGCAGAAGGTAAGCTTGGCCCTAAGGGTTGCTCACCTGGTGGTTACTTTGGAGCAGAAGGTAAGCTTGGCCCTAATAACGGCGGTTGCTCACCTGGTGGTTACTTTGGAGCAGAAGGTAAGCTTGGATTTGGTCCTAAGGGTCGCTCACCTGGTGGTTATTTTGGAGCAGAAGGTAAGCTTGGCCCTAATAACGGTTGCTCACCTGGTGGTTACTTTGGAGCAGAAGGTAAGCTTGGACTTGGTGACGGTTGTATGTGCAATTGCCAAATTAGGCAATGTAACAGGTGTTGTACTGCCAGTGCGCTCAAGAATCTCAGCAGCGACCAGTGTGATAAACACTAATGACAGTATATTAAGAGGTGCGTAGAACAGGTCAATGTAGCTATGTCATTTCTTACCGACTTTCAGCGCTCTGCGGTTCAGAGCGCACAGGTCCTCCTTGAAAATGCTGGCTTGTCTCCACGAGACTTGGATTCGTTCTCGCTGTCATCATCACCGCCGCCGTCATCTCCAGCTCCTAGTACTCTACCTGAACTCTGTCCTGCCTCTCCATCTGCTCGTAATACCTGTCTAGCTGTTGCAGGCGCCCGTTATATCCCACCTGCTGCACAACTTTTCACTGCAGAAGATCGTACCCAGGGACGACATCGTGTCACACGCAAAACTTCTGCACATGCCATCGTCGAGCATCCGATTGGTGCCATAGTCGAGTACCCACAGACTGGGCACCGTGCAGATGAATCTGTTGCCCATGTCTTTCATGTAGATCCCTCTTCATTCACTTCTTCTCCGCATCCCAAGTCGAGCTTCCAGTATTCCTTGGGTGATGGGCATGGTGGCCGAACCATTGGACAATGCCTAATGCTCCGTGATGCTGAAGGGCGACCACTTTCATGCACAAAGCTCAAAACATCGTGTACGTCATTGTATTCATTGTCCTTGGATGATTCTCAGACGTCTTGCAGGCAAGGGCCTTAAAATTTGTTCAGGGCGTCAGCACAATATCTCAGCACACCACCTTACGAACATTTCAGAGGTTTTGGCTCATCATCTGCCTGCATCACAGCTACGGGATCCTGCTAGCGCTGCTGACCAAGAGCTTTTTGAGAAAACTCTTGCTTTTTTTGTCGCTCTGTGTCTTCGTGGCTGCTCACCCAGTCATGCCGATGGACACGACAATGACACAAATTTAGCGGGAGATGACACTGCTGATACTGTTGATGATTTCGAAGGTCTGACAGCCGATCAGTATCTCGACAACATTTCTTTCAACACCACCGGTTCTGATGCTGATCTCCTTATCGGCTGTGTACCATCAAGCCGTCAACTCGTCAAAACCCGCTGCAATGGAAAACTCATCATGCACTTCGATGCATATAATCAGCCGTTCATTCGGTGAGGTTTTTTTTTCAAATTTACTGCTTTCATTTATCTCACTTTGTACATTACAGATGCAGCCTGTATTCTCGCACCTCACGCTCGCACTTATTCATACGAAATTTGCAGGAGAGCGATACTCGCTACCTGCAGGCATTACTCAATGACGACCGCTGCATCATTGCCGAGTGTGAGCAACTTGCGAAGTCGCGGGGATATGGTCCCCTGATGCCATGCAGTTTTGTTACCAGTCCTTCATCACAAAAGCAAGTGTGCCGTACGTTTTATTCTGCCTCTGCAAGCCTCGTCATTGTCAATCTCATACTCGCACTTCAGCACACTGGCATCGCCACGCTGACGGCAAATTGAAGCAGGGCGCTCTACGAAAATGGGCACACAACTGCACAGCATCATTCGACATATATGTTCCCGATGATCTTGTCGCCTGCCCTCGAATTTTGGTCCTTTGCACCAACCCCCATTCGCATCCCCCTCCCGTACCTGTCAAAACTCCGCCTCCCCTAGTTGACGTGTTTCATGGGTTGGTCTCCCTCTTAAAGTGGAAACTGGCGGATGCAACACCACGACGAATATACTTGGACACGGCCTTTGTTGAAGGTCTTCACCAAGTGCTTGACTGGCAGTTTCCTGATGGCCGTGATGCAACGCTTCAAGATCTTCATCCGTCCCTCGCTAATCTCGACCATGTACGACGTCTTATTAACACAATGAGGTCTACGCAGTACCCAAGTGGAACAGGATTTGAGGGTACGTCTGTACAATACTCAAACCACCTGGTACTATCCTGATTGTCATTTTTTTTCAATAAGGTGCACGCCGTCTTGCAAATGAACACGCGTTGTTGCCTCTGGAGCAGCGCTATGTCCGCTGCGCAGAGACACATGTCATCGAGCGTGGTGTCGAACTCAAGCTGGTCGTGTGTATGACATCACGGATGTCATCACATCTTGTGCAAGCCAAGCGCCTGTCTATTGACACGTCGTTCAAACGAGCACAAGGATGGCAGGAGTTCGAGGTTGAATCATGGGATAGCAAACATTGCCGGTGTAAGTGAAATAGATCTCCACTTGTGCCTTTAGGTATTGACGGCTTTTCAGCTGTTGTCAGTGCTCGTGCCTTCACCACGTCACAGAGTGCCAAGGCACACTTAATTCTCTTTCAGCGCATCTTTGACATTGCGTCTGCAGACACGGGCCTCTCTTTTTCATTCTGCCACATCCATGGCTCTGGGTGTGAAATTGTCGTCGCCGACAGCCATAAAGGTCAAGGACTTGGTATGTTTGATTGCCCTTGACCATGTACATTGCTCATTGAAGCACAGGTTTGGGAATGTACTGTGTGGAGCTTTCACGTTCCATCTCAACACCATGTGCATATGAACCTCATCGACGTATCTGCGATTTGAGCCCGTACGATCATCTTCGCCGCTTTTACCGGCTATGTGTGGCTCATTTTAAGAGGAACGTTCATGCTCTTCGCACGCATGTCTCAGACGAGGTTTACTCGGCGATGCTTAGTTTGGCGACATCTGAGGAACACCCGGACATCCAGAGAACATTGAGTATTATTCGCCGTGGTGGACCAAAGGCTGCGGGTAACTATTGACAATCACTGGAACACTCAATTATCATTGACGTATTTACCAGCATGGTTGAAAGACAAACTCGAAGGGACGAAATTTGCACTTCCGGCACTCTATCAACCTATGAGCTTAATTCCTCTCACGACATGGAAAGCATCACCTTCTACGACTAACGGGAACGAGCAGGCTCATCGTAATGCATACCGCGAAGGTGTACACTTGACTCTGTTAGCTGGAATCATGAAGGGCATGAAGTTCGATCAAGCAGCGACGAGTAGCATGGATGTCCATGCTGCATTTGGAGTCTCAACACGAGACCAGGAGGTGACTCAAGTTTATCGTGCGACAAGGTGTATTGTGCGACAAGGTATGAGTTTATCGTGAATCTCGATTATCACTGAACATTATTTTAGCTTTGGTGCAAAAGAAACGCTACAAGTCCTCAGCCACAACACGACCTTCGCAACCACCTACTGTACGTGCCGTCACAATGCCAATACAACTGGCTGCTGCCACGCACGGACACGCTACTACCATGCGCACGGTCACGATGCCACTATGTAACATGGTTGGCGGGGAGTCCATCCAGTTTACATGTGACAATTTTGATGAGCCGCCGCCAGTCGCGCTTCACCAACCACTGCTGTCATCACAAATCAGCATGTCCAACACATTGTCATTTGCATTACAGCCCGGCGCCCGGATCATAGACTACTCACCAATCAAAGTACCGTCTCCGCCATCAGACGTCATAGTTGACTCGAACTGGTATGTTTCCACATACAGCTCCCTGGCAGGAGCACTCGATGAGCAGTAAAAATGGGTCAGAGTGTCTTGTGGAGGGTTGAGTTGATTAGGGTTAGATAGTGCCTATAATTTTTGAAATTGAACATGTGGAATGACGAGCGGCTAATAAGAACTCACCGACAGTGTGGGATGATAACCAGTAATCAGATGAGTGCAACTTCGTGCGGTGGAGGGTATATGCGATGAAATGCGGGAGCTTGACTTGAGAGTTAGAAGACGATGGGGGGTATTCGGGACAAGCAAACAGATGGGTGATGAACCTGGCGCACAACCGCGAAGGCTGCTCGTGACCATAGAATGGGTCAGAGTGTCTTGTGGAGGGTTGAGTTGATTGGGGTTTGGGTGGTATATGCGATGAAATGCGGGAGCTTGACTTGAGAGTTAGAAGACGATGGGGGGTATTCAGGACAAGCAAACAGATGGGTGATGAACCTGGCGCACAACCGCGAAGGCTGCTCGTGACCATAGAATGGGTCAGAGTGTCTTGTGGAGGGTTGAGTTGATTGGGGTTTGGGTGGCGCCTATGTTTCCCGAAGTTGAACATGTGGAAAGACGAGCGGCTATTAAGAACTCACCAACGTTCTCGGGAAAAAACACGCTGAATGGCATACACGACGAGGCACAGGCTTCAAAGCTTCACAGTTGGACAGGAGGTAGATAGAGAAAAAAATGTATTATAATCTCAAAATGAGTGGTAATAAACAGGACTACAAAATTACAGCTAAACGATATACAAACAGAATGACACATAGCATGATCCCACCCTCGATGGTGAAATTCTCGTCTGCGACAAGGACGACAAGCCCAATCCCACTGATGATGAAATTCTCGTCAAACGAGTGACGAGCACGATGACAAGACAAGACAAGACAAGACTTTGTATGAGAGAGAAGTAAGTGGGGGAAGAATGCATGGGCAAAATGTAGCGCAGGCCCTTAAGGCTTATATGTCAGAAAATAAGCGGACTTACTAAGATTAACTCGGCTTAGAAACACTAGCCGAGGAGTTGCTGGGGTCTTGTGGTGACTAAGTAACGTCAACTTGCACGTACCTTGTTTATGTCAAGATTTAGGAGCCGAAGTACTTCGGAACGGTAACAGGGCACCTACGACTCTATTTGGCTCTACGGATGGGCAGAGGCGAGTAGAAGTTCAGCTGACGGATATTCCGCTGGACAACGATGACTATGGAAGTGTGGGAGCGCAGACATGGGGCGGGGCATGTGTCTTGGCGGAAATGATTGTGGAAGATCCTGACCGGTTTGGACTAGATTTATCATCTGGTGGCGCTGAATCACGCAGGCTCAATGTCCTCGAGTTCGGAGCAGGGACAGGGTTGGTCAGCTTGGCGGTTGCAAAATTATTGGATATCTTGCCGTCTTTCAATCATTGCGAAGTTTCTGTAGTCGCGACCGATTTCTACCCTTCGGTGTTAGCAAACCTTAGGTCAAACATTGACACGAATTTCCCCCCCACGCACAATCAGATTTCCTCGGCCCATTCCATTACCACTCATTTCCTCGACTGGTCTTCGTTCTCTACTACTCCTCGACCGGACGATCTTTCATGCCCATTTGATATAGTCTTTGGTGCGGACATTATCTACGAAGCCCAACACGCGGTCTGGCTCCGGGACTGCCTGAAAGGGCTTGTGCGTCGTCCTTCTGATGGCGCCGCATCTCCTGCCGCTTTTCATCTTGTGATACCACTTCGCCCAACACACACATTTGAGTCGAGCACGGTTGAATCCGTATTCCTCAAGGCATGTGATGTTGATCCGAACGATGATGCCGATCTCGTGATAGTATCGAAGGAATCTATTGTATGTGATGCACATGGTGATTATACGAGAGGACAGGGTCTTGATGAAGACGTGGAGTACGTTTATTATAAAATTGGTTGGTCTAATGCACAATTATAGAATCGTAGGGTATAGAGTACGGTCATAGAGTCTAGATCACATAGAGTTGTCGTTTACATAAGTGTCGCTATTTATATATGGGTGGTTTACTTAAGTTTCAACGGTCTTGGTTTACTTTTTCAACGTTCTTGCCCGCATAAGCCTTACGGAGTACTTTGACCTTATCAGTCACGCTGAGCTTCTCACTTCTTCTTAGCTCCGTCTACACAAGTATGTCCATCATGAGCCAGCTGCGGCGTTACCATGCAATCCCTGATTATCTACTTTTGTCTGCAGCGACTCCCAGGCCAGCAGCGACCCTAAGCCTAGTATATCGTGATCTCCTTCAAGTCCAGACCTTTTGCATGCGTGGCCCGTATTTCCCTTCAACTTCCTGGGTTGAGAAATCACCTTTTTCTTGTCCGACAATTCGGGACATCGATACATGTATTACTTCATGCAATTCTGCCTCCTCCGCATCATCGACGCTCAAATTCACGACCCTGGTCTGTATTGATAAGATCCGAACAGCGAAACTCAGAACTGTCTCGTCTCCGTGTTCAAGCATCAGCAGATATCGTGACCGCTGCCCCGTTGGACCTACGAGATAGGCTTCCGACTCGAAATGGCCTCAGAGAGCTCAGAACACGATTTTCAACTCACATAGTAGGCTAGCAGCTGGTTGCTATTATTGACGTGTCATTGATAAGGTCTCCGGTCCGGGCTGCTGAGCGCCAAGTATCAACGAAGATTGTTGTTGTGTTGGCTTAGAGAAGCATATAAATGTTGGCGCACTTCGGAGTGGCTTTCAGCTGAACTCATTATAGCATCCCTCAATGTCTCAATCTACAACCTTATCAGAATTCGATATCATATTTGCTGGAGGCGAGTGCTAATAATAACACCATCTTGCAGCGACTTACTTTTCAACATTGCGCGCTGTGTGCAGGCGGTGCTACAGCTTGTGTTATCGCAGGGCGCCTAGCTGCGTGCGATCCCTCTCTCAAGATCTTGATTTTGGAAGGGGGTGGACACACCCTCGATCAAGATGCTCATGTTCAACCCTACCTATACGCCACCCATCAGGCGCCGACAAGTACAACTGTGACACCCTATGTTGCAAATCCTTCTCCGAGTCTCAATGGTCGTGCACCAATTGTTAGCGTCGGTCATTGCGTTGGTGGAGGCTCAAGTGTGAATTGTTCGTAGCATGCTTGCAGCTAGGGACACGGCGCTGATGCTATACAGTTATGGTATACACTCGTGCGCCTGCCTCAGATTACGATGACTGGGGGGTCGATGGTTGGGAATCGAAGCATCTAATTCCTCTCATGAAGAAGGTTGTCGAATGCGTTTTCGGTATATTTGTCAAGCTGAACTAATTGCATCTTGCGTAGCTGGAGACATATGAGGAGCAGCCTGTTGGTGCAACTCATGGACGCAATGGACCCATCAAGGTGTCTTATGGTGGCCGCAAACCAGGTATCTGGGAAGAGTTCATCCATGTTGGTACAACCTATCACAAGAGGCCATATGCCGACGACACGGATGATTTAGAAACATGCAACACCTACAGCGTGCGCTACTGATATTCTATCTTTGTCTACGACTACTAACGAGAATATCTCAGCCGTGGCCAAAGTGAGCATGTACTCGTAGCCTATTGTGAATGAGGCTCATGTATGAGCAGGTACATTGGCGGAACGACCGGAAGGCGGTCTGATGCGGCCCACCACTATATCTACAACCAAGCCCACAACCCGAATTTACAACTCTGGGTCGGCAAGCGCGTGAAGCGCGTTATCTTTGAGTGAGTGGTCCAACTGGCACCGAAACCACATTCAACTGGTGACGGCCTTTTCCGAACCAAAGGGACAAGCGTGCTGTAGGTGTTGAGTTTATTAGCGATCCAGTAACTTGCCCAGGTGCGGATCAATCGTCGAGTATCGTGAGAGCATCAAAGCTTGTTGTTGTCTCTGCTGGGGCATTTGGTTCCCCAACAATTCTCGAGAGATCGGGGATCGGTGCCGAGAGGGTCCTCAAGCACTGTGGCATCGAGCAACTTGTGAACTTGCCTGGCGTTGGAGAAAATTACCGAGGTTCGCCTTCACCCATCGAGTTGATTTTGGCTTAGGGTTATTAGATCACAATGGCGGCTTCGCTCCATTCTTTGCTTCTGACGAGGCTGTCACCTTGGACTCTCTCTGGCGTGGAGAGAAGAGTGTTATGCAGGGTAAGCTTGTTTTCACCATACTCTCGACACCTTTCAACTATCCAAATATAGACAGCCTCGCGCAATGGAAAATTAATGGAAAGTCGTTCATAGCCGAAAAGTCGGTACAAGTCATTGCTGCTGATAATGTACTGATTAGTATTGCAGTGGCTGCGATGCAAAAATCAAGTGGCGGCCAGATGACGATGAACTGAGAGCCATGGGTTCGGGTTTTCAAGCAACGTGGAAAGAATTCTTCGAGGATCGCCCAGATAAGGCTGTTTCTATACTCGCTCCATGTGCGGGGTGTGTGCATATCACTATGCTTTGATGACGTGCGAGTGCTCATGATAGCCAGATTCGTTGGACTCTCGAGTGCCCTTCCTCATCGCAATTACCTGGGTGCTGGCTATTTCACAGTACTGTTCCACATCTACCCATGGTGTTTGTTCTGAATTTTTCAGTAGCTTTACCCCAAGTCTGTTGGCAGCGTTCATATCAAACTGGAAGAGAACGGTAAGGAAGGCATCGACTTCACCACAGGCTTCCTGGACGAGTAAGTCAGTACATCTCATTTCAAGCACTTGCATGACCACGATATTTGCTCAGTCCATCCGATATCATACCTCTTAACTTTGGGTACAAGAGGCTGCGCGAACTCATTCGACGCATGCCTTCCTACCGAGGTGAAGTCTCCGCCGGCCATCCTTGTTTCCCAGAGGGAAGCGCTGCGATCTGCGGCGAAGCGTCCGGGCCTGTGGACATGCACGCACCTGACATCATCTACACTGCTGAAGATGACGAGGTAATCGACAAATTCCATCGTGCCACCAGTATGTCCTCACCGAAATCCTCAATGTTATGGTAAAATACTGAATCGAATCTCAGTGCAAACGTCGTGGCACTCGGTATGTTCAGTTGACGTCTTCATTCTACGTGACTGATCCCTGCGGGTGTAGCTCGGGACTTGTGCCATGAAGCCGGAGTCAGATCAAGGAGTTGTCGATGCTCGGCTAAATGTGTATGGCGTGGCGAACCTGAAGGTTGCAGACATGTCTATCGCACCGAAAAACGTTGGCACGGTGGGTATTGGATGTGCAATTATTGACATGCGGGCTGACCGTCTCCCCCAGAACACGTACTCGACGGCACTGCTCATTGGAGAGAAGGCTGCGATGATCATTGCTGAAGACTTGGGTATCGATGTTGGGCTATTGGCGCGTCTTTGATATGCATGCTTGTAGGAGTAATCACGAGCATTTCCGACGCTTTGCGTCATGTCCAACTGTTTTTACGCAACAAAGTTGTATCGACAGGTATCTGTCTGAAGAACAAATTTACTATTGCATGGAGCTTTATCGAGCCCCCGGCTGGCCAGCGAGCCGATTTCAAGTACACATGACATCTGGGGAGGTCATGGGGTTGACTTAGTCTCCTGTAGGCAAACTTTTATAGACGAAGGAAGATAGCCGTTCCTTCTGATAGGTTCGCCCCGTCTTAAAATAATTATGTTCTACGTTCGGACTTCAGGCATAAGTATCTGCTCTGGTGTCTACAATTTCCAGAAAGTCTCAGTCTTCTTCTCCCCACAGTGCACACCCTAGTTGCCCTCAAATTTTCACTCAGAGTCATACCCTAACTATTGCAATTGGGCCCTTTCAAAGTCTTGACCACGAATTCGAACAAAACCCGCTATATATTCATACTCACCGGACTCTGGCACAGTCGGACTTGTTCACCATAAAAGTTTGCCCAAACCTGATTCTATCAGCGTTCCACTAGCATGGACTTAAACTTGCTTCATGTCCGTACGGTTATCAACTTAAACTCGTGATAGGCATAATTACAAACTCGGTTTCTTTAGGTGTCCACGCCAGGATTGGCATATATCTGCCTTGGTGGTTTTGTAGTGTCGGTCCGTTCAAACTCCATTTGAATGCACTTTCACCAAACTTTCACGATGTGCTTTGCCGAGTCACGACTACATGGCACATACTCTATTCAACCACTTATCATCCGCTACCGTCTAGTTTTCTTCACACTGCTATTACTTCGCAGTATGCTGACTTTTGACCGTAGTTCTCGATGGTATCCCTCATACTTAGAGAGAAGGTGTGATAGATATCCCACCTGCCATGCTTGAACCCTTGTCCGACGATCCATACTTTCCCCAGCTTTATATCAATGAAGTCATCCTCGGAACGGGCTTTGGGATCATCATAGGCCCTTATGTTGCCAATATCTTCACACCTCGTTCATGGGGTTCGGAAATTACCATAACGTTGGAGGTCATGCGCATCAGTCCTCGCCACCGGCTTGTTCGCAGCGGGAGTCGAATTACCCTGTGCATATATGAAAGAGCATGTTAGGAGCTTGCTCGTAATGGTTGTGCCCACAATGGCATTTGGCTGGGTTGTCATCGCCAGTATGTGTATTTTTCCAGAGACAGTTTCCGTTACTGATAATCATGGCAGGCGTCATACATGCGCTATTCCCGGAGCTCAATTATACCTCGTCTCTTTGCATCGCTGCCTGTTTGACCCCTACGGACCCAGTCACATGTATTGCCATCATTCGTCAGTTCTACCAACCATGATATCGAAAGTAACAGCGGATCTCTGGTGTCTAAATCTGCTCTACAGGTGGAAAATATGCTACTAAACATGTTCCAGTGAATATCCGTCGACTATTGACCGCGGAGTCCGCATCAAATGACGGTCTTGCATACCCTTTTCTTGCGATATCCATATACCTTACCGTAGAGACATCCGTTCGAACCGCTATCGGCAAGTGGTTCTTGGTGGGATGGCTGTGTTTGTGCTCTCGATTATTTGGTCGCTTCATGAGATACTCATCACGTTCTGAAACAGACCAGGTCATTCTTGGCACCGTTTTAGGCGCCGTTCTGGGTCAGTGAAGTCGCCTGATCCATCTGATTGCATCGATCTGAATTGTATTGCATTCATTGCTCAGGTCATCTGTTCTCCAAGCTCATGAAAATATCCCATGATAAGGGCTTCATAGATCGGGAGTCGTTCATTGCGCAATATCTAGCTTTATCCATCTTTACCGTGGGAGTCGCGAGCACGATCGGCGCGGATGATCTTCTTGCAGCATTTGCAGCAGGTATGGATTTAATCCTAAATCCGTGGTTATTGAGTACTTGGGTCTGACATTCCTCCAGGTTGTGCAATTTCCTGGGATGGCCACTTCCATGCACAGACAGAAAACGACGCCTTTTCTTCTGTAATAGATTATGTCATGAACTGTGCCTGCTTCATCTATATCGGCGCTTGGCTACCTTTTGATAACTATCACTCTCCTGAGTATGGCATCACCCCTTGGAAGCTTGTTGTCCTCATGATCGCCATTTTGTTCTTGAGGCGAATTCCATTCTTATTGATGGTCTACAAGTTTGTTCCCGAGATCACTTCCTGGAAGGAAGCTCTATTCTCTGGCCACTTCGGTAAGCGACTATAGCCATGCTGTTACTTTCACCTAAATTACAATTCTTAATATAGGTCCGGTAAGTCGGTTGAATACCATTTCTATATTCACTAATGTATCCTAGATGGGAGTTGGTGCAGTTTTCGTGTCTTCCCTTGCACTTACACGTTTGCCCACTCCGGAATACCCTCCTGTAGATCAAGCACAGTACCTCGCTGTAATTCTTCAGCCTATCGTGTCTTTTGTCGTTCTTGGCTCCATCGTCATTCGTATGTATTGTCGTGGATAGTATCGTGCGGTCACTGATTTTGAAGGTACACAGATGGCTTGTCTATCCCGTTCTTCAGCATCGGTCGTGGCGTACATTGCCGCACGACCTTGTTGACCATCATGGAGACGTTCCCTGATATTGTGGGAGCAACAGTAGATGGTGATGTCGAGCGAGGCTCCACGGTTCCAGGCTATATATCCAAGGGCTCTGATGGATCTGATGTGGATACCCCTCTGACCACTACTTAGCGGCACCATGCTATCAGCGGAAAAGCCACGCAGCCCACATCATGTGATTTTTCGTGCTGGGGGGTGGACAAACTGTGAGGTTGGTGTCGAGATGCTATAGATGCGCTGTTTTATCGACTGGTACACTGGCAGCAAGGAGGCGGACGTTTCAAAACAAGGTGATGGCGTGGATAATATATAACCCTTTGAGTATTACGATCTGCTGTCGTCGAATATTCTAACCCAGTCAAATGACATGGCGATGAGTTTTACTTTCCATCCGATGGAGTCTGACCATGCAAAGCTGAGTGTGGAGAAAACCTTTCTCGCTCAGAGGTGCCGATAACAAGATCTCGATATGGGCAGCAGTTTTGAACAGGAATGTTCTGTAAGTTACTTTCGACTTATATAACACAATCTGAACATACTTCATGCAGATCCACACTATGAACACGACACCCCGTAATGCAGCGCTTCTCTACGCATGCAAATTGTTACTCTGAACTAGGTCTGTTGTGACAAGTTTCCGGAACTTATTTACCTTACTCTATGATGTCCACCGTCCGTGGAGATTTGTAGTTATGAATCCGTATTCGTACAGGGACCCTGTATTACTGAAACTCCAGACTTCTCGTACAGTGTAATTTAATACCGCAGGACCTAATTGATCCTCCCTACTTGCTCCAAGCTGTAAAAGTCTGTTGGAACCCATCGGCATTATCGCTCGAGCGGATCACCCCATTCTGTGACACGCTGAGCTGGTAAGTAGCGCCTATGGTCGACACACTGCATGCAGTGACGTTCGAAGCGGAATCGACGTTGAAGATTTGCGCTTGGCAAGTGCTAGTTTTCAAACAGTCTTGGCTATAATTCTGAACAAATGATCGACTTGCATAAGTAGCAAAAGAACGAATGGCGCAGTCCACTCACTCGAAAGAAGCTGTATAAGCCCGCTCCTATACGCGTGATTATCAATATAGTGCAAGAGCGGACGAAGTTTGAGTGTTATACCAAATATGATGATGTTGCTTGAAGACTTGATGTACATTCCCCAGGCCATGTTGATCGAACTCGAAAAGGTAGGGTCATTGTAAGATGACACAGTGCTAAATGGTGCCGGCGCGGCCGGAGATGGTTGGTAATATGGCTGGGACGGCATCAGATGGAAGTAAACCCGATGCGAAGATCAGTCCATACCGTTTCGGTCTGGGCAAAGCCAATGTAGTGGTTCTGAGCGTTTACCAAGCTATACTGGTACAGCACAGCGTGTTCAGCTAGTATGATAAGCATTGCGACAATGTCCCAGTCTGATAACAACTCACAAGCTAGGTCAAGTTGTCAGAGCAAGATCACGAGAGTCGAGAAGGCCACATACATGTGCCAATAAGCCACACGGGGCCATGGGACTCAGAAAGAATCCCACGACCAGTAAAGACTGAGATTTGAGAGGGGTCTGAAGCATCAAGATCGTGGTCGGCGGTCCAGACCCACGTGCCCTATGCGACAACATCACCATTAGAGATGTTGCGAGACTTTGAATTATCATACCTCGAGGTATGCACTCGATCCAGAAGTCAAATGTATCCCGAGGAAAGCAGCCTGAAAGGCAGTGTCGACAGATCCAGAGGGACATTGTGAATACTGCATGTTCGTGCCCGCAGCTAACAAGGAAGAGTCAAAATGCTTCTCCATGAGCACATATCGAAATAGTTACCTCCACCCAACCTGTACGATCGTCGTTAACGCATCTCAAATATACAAGAGAATCAAGACCAACCTGATATGGCTGTCCCACATTCCTGCAGCCGCTTGCTGACCAGGTGGATCGTGCACGTTCCACTCAATCATTATCGCACCGGGAGCTGTGACATATCAGTATCAGCAGCAGGAATGAGAATATTTCCACGCATACCAGGTCCGGCAGTGGTAAAGACCATATCGCTTATCTCCAGAACACCTTGAGAATTGGCTGCGCCTGCTTGGATAACAGCACGAGGGTTGTTCTGATCGCTGAAAGCGCTCCCGCCAGCCATTATTACTGACCAGGCTTCACCGACGATCTGAGCTCCGGCGGGGATGGCGATGGTATTCGTCACATAATATGTTCCAGCATCGAAGAAGATGATCTTGTATCCAGCGTACTGAAAAGAGTTGTTGGCACGATCTCAGTAGAAGAAGACAACGGAACTCACCTCATTTAGGATGTTTTGAATAGCGGCGGTGTCATCTGTGTGGCCGTCGCCTTTTGCACCCTGGCTCTTGACGCTAATGAATTGGTTCGTGGCGTAGTTTTCGTACTGAGGATGAGCCTTTCCGAAGATGCGTCCAGCACTGTCCAAAAGGACGGAGGGCTTGTTGGCAGAGACGATGTTTCCTTGTGTAAAATGCTTGAACCCACTGGTTCCGGAATATACATTTCCTTGACCCCAGGAAGCGATCGTCGTCGTACCACCAGCAAGAACTGTGATTCCGCCTAAAACACCGACTGCGGTGGGCACATTGATCAACTTGATGTTGTTGAGAACGAGGGAGCCGGCCAGTTGACCTTTGCTCGCTACCGAAGATCGAAGAAAAATGGGGGTATTGGTCACGACTGCATCAATGATGGCCTCTGAACCGACGGTCTAGACAGCATTCAGTTATTTGAAATCACAAACCCTTCTGATTGATGGCAAACCTGATTATTTGTTGTCGTTCCACCGCTTGCTAAATCAAAGCCGACCTGTTATCTGTGAATGATTCTCTTCGATAAGATTTACAAGTTCACGACGTACTTGACAATTGTTAATTGTAACTCCTTGAAACGTGAATCCTGGAAGGATGTGAGAAACATGTAAATTTTAATCAGCCGACCATTACCCCAATTCCAGATGCCAGAGACAGCTGTCGGTTGGTAAGGGGTATTCAGTGCATCACGACGAATTGATGGACGAGAGGACGAACCAGTGGCAGCATTGTTTACTGTCAAATTACGAACCGTAAACTGCTGGTTACCGACTTGAATCCCGTACTTCCCTAACGAAACATCACAAAAGGAAGAACAAAGGAAATTAGGGATCTACCTCCGTTGAATATGATGTCTGACGGCGTAATGTTAATACTCTCATTCCCACATCATGATGGAATTCTCACCTCCCATAAATCCACCACTGGTAACAGCGTATTGAGAATGAAGATTAAAACCAGAAAGCGAGCTTCTCACCTCCCATTCTCCATAAACATGCCTTTGTGGTTATTATTGGAAGCAGTGGACATCTCGACCACGATATTGATGAGCGAAGTGCCTTGCGAAACCTGCCAGTGCAAACCAATTGCTGAAGTCGACGCAGGGATCTGCCTAAGGTCGATGATCAAATTGCGAATGGAACGATAGCTAGATGTCCATTATGATGAGCCATGGTGCACCAGGCGCAGAAAGGAATGCGCACAAGTTGTTTTGGTTAATGAACCATTGGGCGCCCCAACCATTGGGAATATAGGGATCGGCATCTAGTCACAATTGAAGTAAGGCGGCGCCCACATTGATTATGACGGATCATGTACCGATGACTGCAAAGCCATTGAAAGAGGAGTTGGCAAGGAGGGTTGGAGGGTTCTTTGCATCTCCGATCATCTGAGTGTAATAGTACGTGTTAATCGCCGAAGATACAAGGTAAGTCCTGTCCGATGGTTAGCAGACAATCTCATGATATGAATGAAGAGGCATGCCCTGCAGGGAAATATACAATGGCCGGGGTAACACTACAGGCCACAATCGGTTAAGGAATTCGCAAAGAATCGGTGACGCTCTGCACTGACGTGGAGGAACCACAAGATCCCCCGCCGCAGCGCCCACCAGAGGACATGGCCAAGCTGGAATATCGGTGAGTCAATACTTGGGCCCGGGGGAAATGACATGCTTGATAGCAGTGGTGTCATCGGTGATACCATCGCCCTTGGCCCCAAAATCCTTGACATTCCTGAAAACCTGATAAGAACTAGGGTTCGAGTTGAAGGCCGAAGTTCCTTGATGCTTGATAGTCTGGAGCCAATACGGGTCACTTGGAGCCGCTGTTCCACCACCCAATGGTGCCGAGCATGATGTGCCTAACCCAAAGACAGACATCAGTGAGTTCATGAGACCTTGATATTGTAGCCGTGCCAGTGGGAACTATAGAAGGATATAATTCTACTGCTTCCTTGAAATATCGAAGAACTTGAATATGTTGCAGGAACAATGAGATGTTTGTTGACGCATATTAGGATTAGAAGCTGTCGACAGACAGAACCAAACAGTCATAACTGACTCTACATGAGTCGGGCATGGGCCATATTACATCAATCGATTTCTGTTTTTAGAACACTTTGATCACCACGCCTTTCCAGCACAGAGTTTTGGCCATGTTTGCTTGAGGTATTGAGGTCCACAGGACCCTCGTACACTTCTAGCATTGCCCACGCGCAACGCGTTCTTCTGCTTTGCCTTTTAATACCATATTCACGATGGAAACAACTGAGGAACTCCAACAACTCGAAATCACTGCCTTGAAATCCATATATGATACAGACTTCTTTGAGCCACCACCGCCGAAGGCTTGGAAGGTCTGTCTGCTCGTTTTCTTGAATTAGTACGCAAATGTATACATCCATGTCTAGGGAGCCACCAGATTGCCAGAGTTCATCATCAAAGTCACCCACCCCGATCCAATCCATGCCTCCAAGGTCTACTTCCACTTGCATACCAAGTCAGATGTCACCCCGGTGCTCATGCTTTAATTACTGACGAATACCTTGTTAGACTACCTAAAACATATCCCACCCTTGCAACCCCCGCGTTCACTATACAGAAACCTCGCGGTATTAACCATGATCATGAGATAGCTCTTCAGAAAGCCATTCATTCTGAGGCTCAAATGCTCCGCGGATCTGAAATGGTCTTCCAGGTGCGCATATATCAGCTGTTCAAGTGATATTCGTCCTACTCACGATGTATTTTGTTGCGACTAGATCATTACGTCGGCTCAGGAGTGGCTAGCTGATCACGTTCATCCTGCCATTGAATCCTCCGGTTCTCTCGCCACTGAAATGACGAAGCGTGCTTTGGAAGAAGAGAGGGTATGCTCCTCGTCATTGTCTCACTGACCTATGTATTGATCTTTGATTCAGGAACGAAAGCAACGAGAGGAGAAAGAAGCAGAAAGAGAGTTCGAGTTAGCAGCTCAACGTGCCGAAGAACTTCAGGAACAGATTCAGGCTGATGCGCAGAGGCATATGCTTGCCAAG